GGTAACGATAAAAAAGGTTTGCTAGGGTAGACCCTCTTTCACTCAGACTCAGCCCTCCCGAATTGAAATCATGGCTACGGGCCTGACACAAAGTATATGTTAAATGAAAATGTGTTAAATATGTTAAACAACAAAACTATTTTAGAGCCCGAAATCTTTCTATTAGGTCTCATTCATAAATTTCCAAAGAATTTGAGAGAATTTTTCAATACGTGTTATCAGCAGCCAGGATATTATTTGCAAAATATTGGAGACAACAGACAATGCCAACAGTGGAAGAATGGAAAATGAATGAACTTCATAGAACTCTCAAAAATGGACAAGCTGTCAGAATCAGGATGGAAATACTTTCAAAAAAAGATTGGGAGCTTATTAACCGGCTGTCTGGAAAATCTAAAAATAATGACTGGTTTCTTAAATTGAATAAAGTACATTGAACTGACAAAGGACTCAAGTTAAACAACAATTGATGTAAATAATTTTTCAGCGTTATTGAGGCATGCAGTTTGAACTGAAGAAAGTAGATGAACACTTCTAGGCAAAGACAAAGACCCATTTTCAGAAAGCTCTAGGTTGCTCCTAAAGTAGGGATATAAATTTGTCTATTTCAAATTATACTTCTACATTTTGCTTTGCCATGCATTATTTATTTTAAAAAATGAAGAGGCTCTGAAAATAGACTTTTCATGTACAGAAAAGCACAGTGATTTGCTCTTAATAGTTTCAGAACTTCTCATCTCTTCCTATCTTGAGCCTTCTGAGGGATGATTTTTCATGTATAAACACATTGCTTCCCATTTTCAGTGGCAAAATATGCCAGATGGCTTTGCTTTAAATTTTCAGTTTTGCTTTTCTGGTGATGACAGCAATAATGAAATGAGTGACTGCTACATTCATTTCTTACACATTGGAAAATGTTAGTGTGATAACCACCTACTGCTTGACAGTAATCATAGATACCATATTTGGCTACAGAAATTCTAATGCATATCTGTTTCTACAGTATTCAGTCCCACATGCAAACAGAAAGTGTAGCACACTGATACACACCAATCTAACATTTAATCTCAGGGTAATATTGAGTCTGTTCTGGGAGAAATATCTAATAATTCAAAGGGCAGAGAGTTAACCCAAACAAATAGGACGCCTTAAATTCATTTCATTTGATAATAAAACTGCTTGAACCGCTGTCTTGGAAGTAGTGCAAGGCAGCTTATTTCTGTATTGCTTTTGAGTGAGCTTGGTGGCTTGACTCTGTTTTTTTGACAGCACTTAATAGCATAAAGGTTAAGAATATATGAAGAATGTTGCTGGATCAGGCCTATCTAATCTATCATCCTTTTCTCTGTAAAGCCCTTAAGGGAAAGAGAGGCCAGTAGTCCTTTTCCAATGTTGCTTTTCAATACTTCCGTGATCTAGAAATGATAAAGTATATAATATAATTCATTATCCTTATTTGCCTTTGTGAGTCAGTAATCCCTCATGAATCTATTGCTTACAAGTGAATTGTTAAAAATCCCCTCTGTCATCTGTTTAATTACAGGGATTTGTTGTTGTGTGCTTTCAAGTCATGGCAAATCTGTTTCTCTGTAAAAATAGTATTTTACTGGTGTTCCTGAACATTATCATATCCTTGGCAGCACATTATGGCCTAGCACAGCAAAGGCATTGTTCTTATACTCATTGAAGGAAGCTTTTTCTAATATCTTTCACTCTTGATCCAATTGCAGAGCACCTTATTGCATTTTCATCGGATGCAAGAGTAGTATATTGTCAGAGCACTGGAAAAAGCAAAACAAAATGGAGAGAAGCCATGAGGAATCAGTATGTGTAATATGAAATCTATTTTTCCACTTAACTCTACCTTCAGTCTGTGTGCATGTGCACAAACACACATACACCTTGCCTGCTTTGTTCCCAAACTCACAGTTAAGGCTGGTAATTTAAATTCCACAAATGATGGATGTGGTAGAATTATATTGCATGGTGTGAACAGTGCCATCATCCAATATTTGATGATACAGCATTAAAAATATGACCAAATGTCAAGCTGAGCTTTTGTCTATGTAGAGAATCACACCACCCTCTTTGCTTGCTGAAAATGTTTAACATTACTGCAGTATAAAACATCAGTATGGCCTCAGTCTTTACACAGAGGCGAAAATGTTGCCAGTTCACCACATCAGATAGCTTAAAAAACTGGTGTAGTGCACTATAATGCTTGAGTTTATGGATTAAGTGCTCAAACTGATCTATATCATGTCTTCATATTTTCTTTCAGTGAGCCAGTGCTACTTTATATGTTTTGTTTACATTAAGAAGTCGAGGAACTATAGCTATGTGATTGAAACGAGTAAAGGTCTGTATTGCCATGCTGGATAGAATTAAAAGAAAAACAACAACATGGCAACGTAATTGTTGGCAAGGTCGAAACTGGACTTTACTTGTTGCTAGAGACGGCTCCATTCTCAAATCATGACTACTGATGCATCTAATACAATAGTCATTAAATATGTTTACTTATCACAGTTGTTACTCTGGTGGCTTCAAATGTACTCTGAAAATGTGTGTCTCAGTGTGTTCTCAGTGTGTTCTACTCAATTTGTTGGATACCATAGCTAAAGCTGTAATGGGATATTATTTAAAGCAGGATAAGTTGCAGAGTTCTTTTACACTGAAGCACACATTTCAAATTGGAACTTGAAACTGTTTCCACCAAATGTGTGTTAAACCTCTGGCTGCAAAACTTTTTGTTCATGAATAGCTCATCCAGGCTTAATATAATAATAATAATAATAATAATAATAATAATAATAATAATAATAATAATAATTGGAAAGAAGATATACCTATAAATAGGAAAGGTTGTGTGGTTATGTTGTTTCTTGACTTTTACTTTCCCTATGTCCACATCTGTCATATCACACCTATGCACTCCACGCGTGAATTTGGTTTGATGTGGGAATCTGTGTCATCATTGATGGTCATCTTATTAAGTGTGCATTCAGCAATCCTCACCCCACTATATGTGTTTTTGCAGTTTGAAAACAACTCTTGAGAAAATAGAGGTGGTGAGTCTCATGGGTGACTCACAACACTGGCCAGAGTATCCTGATGAAAGTCCAATTCAAGGGAATTAGAAACAGTGTGAATGTTGCATTTTTGTTGCTTGGGCTTTCATTCTGAGATTGTTAATGAATTATGATTGTGCCCTGTTATGAGCTGTCGGACAGGTCCATTGTTTTAGACTCTTAGCAATGGATGTTATGGTTTGAACCTGAATCTCTAAATAATTGTGGTGGATTAGTCAGAACTCGCATTGGGGATTGTTAGGACCAGGATTGGAAGCAAAATAGTTGGGATTGGGTTGTAGATTTAAATACGTTGTGTGATTTCACTGAATACAGTGTTTGGGTATTTTTGCCTTGTTTCTTGTAGATATGGTAAACATGCAGAAAGAGGCAACTATAATAAGAACAAAAAGAGCTTCCTATGATTCCTTTACTATAGAGGGAAGGATATGAGAAGAGTTTCATAGAAAGTGGGCAGAGAGTTTTATCTTTCCAAAGAGTTTCCCAAAGAAAGTAGAAGTGAACAATGAATTACAGACAAAGAGAAACATTTACTCATTCAACGTGCACTTAACCTCTGAACCTTAATCTCACGACATGTAGTTACAAACTGTATAGATGGTTTTAAGAACATAAGAAGGACCATAGTGGATCAGAAATTTCATATGCTTAACATACATGAGGAACATGCTGTTCCTGGACTTCCCAACCAGATGTAGGAAACATTAAGTAGAATATGAAGCAGGCTGCAGCACCTTTCACATACGTTTCCTGCCTCTGAACTGGAGGTGATATTATTATTAGAAGCCACTGGTAGCATTATCCTTTGTGAATTGCCTAATGCCCATTTCAAGCCATCTGAGATGTCCTCATATGAACCATTGTTTTATATACTTCTGTCATCTTCCACTTTTTCAAAGCTGAACCTCACCCCAAATGTTATGGTCTTCTCTGAGAACTGCTTAACCTCTTCATCCTGGTGCTTATTTTCTGCACTTCTCTCATTTCTACAATATCCTGGCATTCTATTGCAGTCCTGACTTCACAATCTGAAGTTACAGATTTGTAGCTGCTCCATATTAAATAAGACTGTGGCACTGAGGCTGGAAATGTCATCGTGCAGTGCCCCAAATTGCCAGCTGAATTGAATGATGGAAGTCTACTCAGCTGGTAATTGGGGCACTGGAGGATGACATTTCCAGCCTCTACCAATGAGCAAGGCTGTGATTTTCAGGAGCAGGACCCCTGTCCCAATTCCTTATTTCATCCTTGCTTTCTAGTGAGATGGGGCTGGAAATGTCTTTTATGTGTATCCCAGTTGCCAACTGAACAGATATCCACAAGTTGCTGTGGCTTCTGGCTAGTTTGGATAACGTAGGTTTAGAGGACCAGGCCAGGAGATGTTACTTATTTACACATTTGCATATAGGGAAGTTGGTGTAGGGTTTTGATGGTGGTTTTCAAGCAGCATTGAATACATTTTGGAGAACATAGCTGTACATTATGACATGTTCTTATTCAGTATGATCATATCTGTAAAAATAATGTATGACTTCGTTCAGCGTATTTTGTTTGTTATCAGTTTCAGAAATAGCTCAGAGAAACAACTTTTTTTTCCATATTAGGAGCGACTTGAGAAACTGCAAGTCATTTCTGGTGTGAGAGAATTGGCCGTTGGCAAGGATGTTGCTCAGCGGATGCCTGGATGTTTTACCATCCTGTGGGAGGCTTCTCTCATGTCCCTGCATGGGAAGTTGGAGCTCACCCCATTCCCAGTTTCAAATCGCTGACCTTTCAGTCAGCAGTCCTGTTGGCACAAAGGTTTAACGCACTGTGCCATCGGTGGCTCCTGAAAAAAACAACAATAACTGAGGATCTGAAAATGTTTTCAGTGCATAATGTATGTTTTCTCCCCTTTTGTTTTTGCAGGATCAGTTTGATAATTTAGACAAGCACACACAGTGGGGCATTGACTTCCTGGAAAAATATGCAAAGTTTGTTAAAGAAAGGATAGAAATTGAACAGAATTATGCAAAGCAGCTGAGGTAAGTAACTTTCAAAGTTGTGCTGCTCTTAAAATTATGAGTATATTCATACCATTCTATTCTAATTATTTTAAATAAAAAAATGAATTTTACCAGAACAGAGTGTGTGAACAAGGCAGTCTTGGAACGGTAAACAAATTTAATTCACTTAGAAAGGGACAGATTATTTTCCTTTGTCTCGGTTAATGTTATTTGCTGCTACACTTTTGACTTAATTCTATCCCCCTCCTTTAGCTGTTCGTTAGAAGCAAAGGCATACTGTTAGCTTAGAACTAGAAAACATAGACTTCCACTGCCGCCAGAAGCATGGCATATTGTGCAAATATGCAAGGCAGAGCTAAACTGTCTTCTCAGTATTCACTTTATTCATGATTGTTTATTTTCTTGAGCATTATATTTTTGTAGAAAGTTGGGATAAATGTAATAAATAAAAAGTAAGAAGAGGCTTTCAACATAGTACTGAGAACTGCTGTTGTGGTTCGCTTGTTTTTCATACGGTAGAATAGTTTCTTGGCTATCAGTGAATGTGAAAGGATGCTTGAAAAACATCTGAATTAAAATTCAACAGCTCAATTTCCCTCTCTCTGGTTGCAGATCTGTCCTGCACACAAAGGAAAGAGCCATATAGCCAGAGCTGTGTGACACTGTCCATTGCTGTTGTTTATGTGGCTGGAGAGGCACACTGTTTTTCATGTCATTGTTTCACTTGACAGAAACATCTAAAAAACTTTCAGCTCTTCTGCATTTGTCTTCACATTTTCATGTGAATTTTGTGAGGCTGGTGCTGGTGCTTTCTGACCTCAGATAAATAGCAAAACCATTGCTATGGTTTTGTATTCAGTGCAAGATTTTCTACATGTTCAGAACCATAGAGCTGTTTCCAGGGCTTTTAAAATTAGCTATAAAATGCCCCAAATAAACCTTGCTCTAGGAGAGCTCCTTATGTAGCATCCAGACACCACATAGTGGCATGTCCCTCTGTGTCAAAACACAGCTGTTGATGGTTGTTGCTTGCATGAAAAGATAGAAGTCCTTAGCACAGGGCACATATGGCTACAGCTCTTTTATTATTTATTTATTTATTTATTTATTTACTTTGCTTGTATACCGCAATTTCTCAGCCTTGTAGGCGACTCAACGCGGTTTACAACAAGAGCAAAAGTCAATCCAACAGCATACAAAATTTAAAAACCATTAACAGCATAATATACAAAATGACATATCAATAACAACACATTAACGTCTCGTAACTAGAATCGTGATCCAATTCGTCTTCCATAATTCCGTTTCCTATATTCATCGTGTACATTGCATTGTTTAACCGAACGCCTGTTCGAACAGCCAGGTTTTTAGTTTTCTTCGAAACACCATTAACGAAGGGGCTGATCTAATGTCCATGGGAAGGGTGTTCCACAGCCGAGGGGCCACCACAGAAAAGGCCCTGTCCCTCGTCCCCGCCAGCCGTGCCTGTGATGCAGGCGGGATCGAGAGCAGGGCCTCCCCAGAAGATCTTAGAGTCCTGGTGGGTTCATAGGCAGAGATACGTTCGGATAGGTAGCTTGGGCCAGAACCGTTTAGGGCTTTAAAGGCCAACGCCAGCACTTTGAATTGAGCCCGGTAGCAAATCGGCAGCCAGTGGAGCTGGTGCAGCAAAGGAGTTGTATGCTCCCTGCGCTCCGCTCCTGTTAGTATCATGGCTGCCGCACGTTGGACTAGTTGGAGCTTCCGAGCCGTCTTCAAAGGCAACCCCACGTAGAGAGCGTTGCAGTAGTCTAAACGGGATGTAACCAGAGCGTGGACTACCGTGGCCAAGTCAGACTTCCCAAGGTCCACAAGCTGCCTTAGCCAACATCCATGGCATTCACCCCCAACTCCAGCACAACTGTTAGTCAAAAATGGAGGAAAATTACTGCCATAACTAATAGGAATTGCAGATTCTCCCAGTTCTGTAGAAGAGTAAAAGAGAACTACCCATTTGGATTTCAAGCAGAGTTCTGAAAATTGATGTTCTGTGTTTGAGTCTCAGTTTTGTATAACTTTGAGTGATTGAGCCTCATTTGCTTTATATGAGAGATCTGTGCACTAACAACAGAATCTTGTCCATTGTTTTTGATATGATTAGCCAAACTATTCCTAGATATTGGCAGAGTGCTTCAATTATCAGATGTTGTTTATCACAAAGTAGCTACTGCTTATTTAAACAGGAAGCAGTTTGCTCTGTTTACTTCCTCTCTGTGTACTGCTAACTACTCTAAAGGTTACTTATTTTGTTCTTATTTTAGGCCAGTGGGGTTTTCCATGCTAAGTGCTATTCTGTTAAGCTGTGTGGCATATGTACTCACGTAGACCATTGCAGGGTGACTAGAAGGCAGTGATCTATGGGTATGATTAATTTTTTTCCAGAGGAAATGAGGAATTTCATTTCCATCCTACAGATTTCCACTTGAGTGCCTTTCTGTTGTAACATGATATAGCAGGGTCTCCAGAGGGAATCACTTGATTTGGAAGCTGAAGAAAGCTATTTCAGTAGTTTATCTTTTGCACTTGGAAATGGTATAATTCTGCACAGCCAAATGAAGATTTAGTTACCTAAATTACTATATTTAGAAACTTGGCACACTATTCGAGTACTCAACTAGTTTGAATTCTAAATTGAAAACAAATGGTGACCATGTGGGCCCTTTTTCCTCAAGTCTGTTTTTCTTTAATTGAAATTGAAAACATAGTATGTTGATTATTATCCAAATGTAGATGTGGCAGACTTTTCCTTGAGTAGCTTAGCATACGAATTTAGAAATCAGATTCCCCACTGTAATTTCTGCCACACCAGTGCTCATCTAGAAGAGTGTTTGTTAGACTTAAATTGTTTTTTTTTTACATACTAAACATGTAGATCATAGTTCAAGCTGAGCTAAATATTTTGAGGTCCCATACATTTTCATGGGGAAATTTTAAAACAAGGAGGCAAATATCTTCCGTTGTATTAAAACAATTTTTGCCAAAGGCCAGCATCCTTCAAAAAGCAGTCCCAGGAGAGTATGATAATATTGAGTGCTTGATTATAGCAGAGATGGTTCCCAATGTAGTTGAGGCTTTCTTTAAAAGAGTACCACTGCTTAACAAGTCTGATTCACAGATATCAGTGCAAATCATACATCTTCACTGGGATGATGCATCTTCTGTGTGAAACCAATGTTTTTGTGGCCAAAATATCTGGAGACTCACAGATTGAGAACCACTGGTGTAGCAGATCATTATTGAACTTGAATTCACATAGGGAGTAGTTGGCAGATTTGTAGGCAGCAGTCTCCATGCACCAGAGGCCTAATTAGGTGATTAATAATCTCTGGAACTGGCATAATCTCTCCTTGACTCTTCATTGTTTGATAAATAATGGTGGGCCCCCGGCTATGGAATTCCCTCCCGAATGAAATTAGATCTGCCTCCTCCCTCCTGACCTTTAGGAAGCTAGCGAAAACCTGGCTGTGGAATGAGGCCTTTGCAGAATGATGGGTGAGACCGGTAATCGACCAGTTATTGACTACAATATATGGCCCTGAATATACGGACTGAGTTGGACTTGTTTTGATCTTGGTGAACGACTTTTATGTAATTTATCTTATATATATATTTGTTAATTTATTGTTGATATATGATGTTTTAGATTTTTACTGTCAGCATCGAATCCTTGCTGTTAGCCGGTCTGAGTCCCTCTATGGAGGTAGAGACGATCGGGATATAAAAGTGTTAAATAAATAAATAAATAAATAAATAAGTCTACAGTATCTGCAGCCTCCTGCTGGGGAGACCCTCCCCCTTCAATCCCTGGCTCCTCAGACTCAGGCCCCATCTACATAGACACCAGAATCCAATTTGAAGTCAACTTTTCTGGCAGCCTGAAGCTATAGTAGGCCACCATACATTCACTGTACCCTTTGCATTGAGTGCTACTTTACTTATTTTTTTTAACACTTAAGCCCTAGGATTTAAAAAAACCAATTTTATTGGGTAACTTGTGAAGTATTTTTAGAAAAATTCTATATATTGCTATGTATCAGAATGACCTATCTTTCCAGTGTCTCATCTCTGCATCCTGATTATTATTATTATTATTCTTACTATTCTCTTCATATGCATTGAGGCAGGAAACTACAGACTCAAATACAGCAACAAATAGACTCATAACACTGTTAAAACATGAACATCAGTTAGAACAAATATATATGGAAAGTGACTGAAATTTTGAAACATTGTTTACAACTGTGCATCTGTCACCTACAACATGTCTGATAGAACTACTATGTACACTCTACTAGACACAAATGCACCCAAAGCACAGAAGTATACATCATGCTGCAGGAGGGTTAATCATTGTTTTAGGTAATGTTAAAACATCCTTTTGGCTCTTTAAAAGTTATAATAGCTTGATTAAATGAAAGATACTCTAGGTAACACAATTAATACATGATGATCAATTGTCACTGTGTCACCAATAGTGATGTAGTCAATGTGAAGCAAAGAAGCTTTAAAAGAAGACTAGAATGGGAGTTGCAATTGGTTAGGAAGTTCTAATCTGTCATCAGACATTTGGATCAGAATAGCAGCTTTTTTATTGCGCTGCAGGTGTTAATTGGTTTCCTTAACACCAGGATGTTTCTATTATTAACAGGTTTTGTGATCAACCAGTATTAATAATGAAATTGTCAGTGTCGGTATTTTTAGTATTTAATTTCCCATAGATGTTACTGTCTATAATTCCACACCCAGTGATGTGTGTTGCACATATGTTAGAAATTTTGGATGTCTCTAAACATTTCATGTTTGTGACATTTTTTAGACATGCAGAATTTTGCAACAATAGCAATTCGGTTTGACTGGCAAAATGGGGGTTAAACCAATCCCTTATAAGAGAAAAGGACACATACATACATACATTGTAATAATGAAATGTATGGGGGCACAACATGTCTCATGGAAACCTTTCATTTATATTTTTAAAAGTATATTATTTATTAGATAATACTCCCACACTTTGCAGCCAACATGCTTACATGTGGTGACACATGGTTTGGAAAGCTCTGTTTTAAGGTTTTTTTTGTTTTTGTTTTTGCAATAGACATAAATGCATTTACCCCTTTGGAAATGTTTCTTTGTAGGTAAAGTCTCTTATTGTTATCGGTTCTTCCTAGTTCTGAATATTTTTTTATTGATAGCTTCTATAGCTTTTATGTACTGCAGATCAAATATGAATGCTATAATGTTTAGAGGTATTGTAATATTCCCATATCTAAGGGGGACAGCAAGAGAGAATGTGATTTTAAAAATTGGCATTATAGCCCAAGTAGAGATTGTACATATGTTTAGTTCCTTTTCCTTAATGTATCACTTGGGGAAACAAAATAGATTTCCTGCTGAAGAACACGAAATATATACATTATTACTTTGTGGGAATATTTGTGGGCAATGAAGTAATTTGAGGCCGCTGGAATCTTTGGAATTCCGCTGAACTCTTTTAAAAGTTCCCAGCTCCTCATCCTGTCACTTTGCTTCAGCTTCATTTGGGGGAACAGTCTGTTCTTACTGGCATATTTTTTATGATTGTGGAAGCGAACAGCTAAAAAGGTTGTTAATTATGAAATTCTGTGTCAAATGTATCCATAGGAGACAAATATTTTTTGCTTTCCCTTTTGTTTTAACTGGGTTATCTTGAATAGAAAGAGATGAACAAAATAGGCTGTTCCCACCGTTATTCGGGGGTGGAAAAAATGATTCCTCCTGCTTCCATTAGCATTTGGGGGAAAAAGAGAATTCTATCACTCCTGTTTACATATGTGGTTTTGTAAACAGGAAATGAAATTTCTTATATGCTTATATGAGAGAAACAAACAGGCTGCATTGGTTTCTTAAACCACAGATTTGGCAAAAATGTCAGGGAGTCTGTTTCTGCTAAGTTTTTTTTATTTAGAAAACCCGTATTGTAGCATGATGAATCAAGGTGTGTTCTGATGAGGCATGGACACAGAAACTCTTGCATAGTATATTTTAATTCTGAGTAGTTATGGAGGTGTGTCAGTGCACTACACTAAAACACACAGAGCCTCCATATATTTCATGGCTGAGGAATGATCCTGGGAGTCTTAGCGAAGGCTCAATAACTCTGGTGGTCAAATGTTCACTTCTAGCATCCATTGTGAGGTCCAAAACCCAAAATCTCAAACCTAGATATGACCAAGCAACAACTTCAGGTTTTGATTTCAGTTTGCTTGATGCTCTTTTATGTGTTGTTTATGTGTTTATTAATTTGTTTTATACTCTACTCTCTCTCTCTCTCTCTCTCATTGAGGGACTCAGAGTGGCTAACAGTAGGGAACAATTCAATGCCATTCAGACTTAGGACAATACAATGTCAAATTGCATGTAACATAAACAACACAAAACATTTCTAACATGTCATATAAAAACAGTATTAAAGCCAACTATATTAAAAACCAGCTATTTTAAAAACCCGCACTATCTCGTTGCAATAGTCGAAGTCCCTTGTCATTTAACATGGTTACTCATTGTCTTTCCCAAAAACTTCCTTTCAAAGAAAAGTTTTCATTTGCTTACTGAAGTATAGCGGTGAGGGAGCCATTCTGATGATGTTGGGAAAAATGTACTGTAATGCCTCCTCCCCGTGAACAGGGGATTTTTTTTTAATTGTAAATCAAATTATTCTAAGGGGATCTCTGTGGGGACTCCTGTGGTGCACATAGCGCACCATATGGACAAATATGTGGACAAATATTGCTATGTTTTCTTCTCTTTACAGAAATCTGGTGAAAAAGTACTGCCCTAAGCGTTCATCCAAAGATGAAGAGCCGAGGTAAAATTAATTGATTTAATTTTCTGCAATCAGTTCAGATTAAGTCCCAATCCTAAACCCTTTTTGCTTTCTTAAAATTTGTCATACATAGTTTGGGATAATTACGTATATTTCCCTGAAGTTTCAGTAGGTCATATCTTTTGGACGCAGTTTATTAGTAAAATGTTTCTATTTTATGTTGTAATCCTATTTTCATCTCTGCTCACATGCCAGATCCAATATTTGGATTCTGCATGTGCTAGCCATTGAGCTGAATGTTGTGTGTATCCCCACAATGTAAATTGGGTTAAGTGCTCCTTTATAGAATACTAATTTTCACAGTGGGTGTTATAGGGGTATTAATAAAACCATGCCATCTCTTGTACATATTTTGCTCATGTAACATAGTTATGAACCTATATTGAGAAATTCTAAAGAGGAGCAATGGTATAATTTTCTGTACCAATTTTCAAATCATGTTTGATACATCCCGTTTCATAAAAATATCATTATTGGAGTATCTCTGACACTATGCTCACAAAGTGTGGGTCTTGATATGAACAGGAGGCAAGAGAGGAAAAACTATAGTCTCCAAATGTTGTAGGACTCTCATGGCAACCCCACAATGTCCGGGGAGCCCGGAGTCTTTAATTCTCAGAATAGATGAGATTAACCTGTTTGTGGGCTATACCACTTCTTCCTTGTGTGGAATATGATTGTGTGGTTATGCAAAACATTCCCTACATTATATTGATTGAGAGATGGATAGTATAGAAATTTTCTCCCCCATCATCTAATTTTCTATGTGAAATGGTTTCGTGGTGAGAATCGCCAACCATGCAATCCCACATTTGCAGATGAAGTTCAGGGTCAATGTTCTCTCTTCGTTTGCTAATTGTAACATCCAAATCTGAATATCTAGCTTTGGAAAATTATGACCTTCTTTCTCCTTTGTAGTCTGTTCATATATTAGACAACAAGCATGTGCTGTTACTAATTTTTGTGTAACTGTCACAATTTCCGCATTGTCTAAGGAGGAAAAGACCCTTAGCATCTCTTTTTCCCCACACTTGAGGTACCATTGTCTCAGCACACTTGAGCTGGATTGCTTGGCTACCTTTAAAATAGAAATAGTATATCTGGTATTCTAAAGAAACCATCTGCTCTTCTTTTTTCTGATTGGGGAATATTGATATCTGATTTTAAAAAGGTGCAGTAACCATTTCAAAAGGAAGCACATTCTTAAAGGAATATAGTAATCATTACGTTGCAATAGACCTGTAGAGCACCAGCTTTGTCCTGGTGTCTAGTTATTGGTGGGATTTAAGCTTATAACCCAAACGGATTTCTTATGGAAGATTGTTTTGAACTCCTCCCCTTTACTTTTAACATTTTTAAAAAGAAACTTGAATTTCAACAAGGCTTCCAGATGCTGATATGGCGTTCAAGATCTGACATCATAAAAGAAATATCAAACGTTCCAGTTTTATAAGAGAGGTCTATTTTTTTTAAAATACAGTGACATGTTTGTTTGTTTCTCCCCCTCCATACACATTTTCTACCCTTATTGTTTCCCCTTCTCCCCTTCCACTCCCCCTTTTTTTTAGTGCCAGCAATAATGTGGCACCTTTCCCTCCAACCCAAGAGGTGAGCAGTCAAACAGTCTTCAGAGCTGGTAGCAAACTTGTGCAGTAGATCATCCATCGGGGTTCATAGGAGTGGCATGATTGGCATGTTCCACCCTCAAGATCAAGCAATTCATCTCTGCAACAAGTTCAGCTTGCCAAGCCTAGGAAGTTAAGTCCATTCCTAAGCTCAGTCCTTCCATTTCGCATCTTAGGAGATACCACTATACTGCAGGGCCTTCCAGGTAGTATTATTTATTCTTTTCCACCTCTTGACATCTGTTTCCATTAGAAAAAAAATGTGTGTGAAGACATGTGTATTTTGGACGTTTTCCAGTGTGCATCTTTTTCTGCAGTTCATTTTCTTGAGGTCTGTGCCATGCTAGATTGTAATATGTTTCCTATTCCCTTTGTGGAACAAAAATAAGTCAAATTGACATCTGTTTTTCCCTTCACTGTCAGGTTTACCTCATGTATAGCCTTTTATAATATCCTTAATGAGTTAAATGACTACGCAGGACAGCGAGAAGTAGTAGCAGAAGAATTGGGCCACAGGGTATATGGAGAATTGATGAGATATTCTCATGATCTCAAAACAGAAAGAAAACTGGTAAATATGGTTTACAATTCATTATTGGGCTTGATAGTCATTTGATTTGTTACAGTGGCCACAACATTAGAAAAGAGCTCTGTTGAAGTTAGTTCTCTGTGTAGCAGATCCTTCTGTGGTCAGGGTGGGCAAGTGGTTGGGGTTAATTTTCACTTCCATAGACTACCCTAGCACATTATGTTGCCTGGTAAGTGACATCTTTTCCGGTTGCAATTTTAGGCAAAAAATAGTATTCCAAGAAAGGCCAAACAAACATGTTCATAGATGGTTATTCTTGCAGATTGGCCATTTTCAGACAAAAAATAATGACCCTAAAAGTCAGGCTAGAAAAAAAACAAAACCAGAAAGCTTTGAAAGTATTTGGGGAGGCTTGAGGCTTTGGATTCTATTTGCAGTCCACTACCAGACTTTCCCCACTCCTCTTCTGTGACAAAAAGAGTAATGGCCCTCAAAATTTCATATTCATGTGAGTGTCTTCAGGTTGTCTGTTATTTTTTTTCCATTGGGGAGATAGAGCAGGTTATAAATAAAGATTATTATTATTATTATTTGTGGTTACCTCATGGTTTTTTCATAGAGGTTTCTTAAGCAAAGAATACTTAGAGGTGGTTTTGCCAGTTCCTTCCTCTGAAATATAGATTATAGCGCCTGATATTTGTTGGTGGTCTTCCATCCAAGTATTACCCAGGGTTGACTATGCTTAGTATCCAAGATCAGATGAAATCTGCTGCTGTTTCTAAATTATAAAAAAATATTCAATTTTATGCATCAAGCTGATGTTTGTGCCAGGCAAACTTGTGCATGTTGCATGGAAATCAGTACCATTGTGTTCAGCAAGGTTTATTTATTAGCAAGATGAGTTGCAGATTGGAGTCTTTATGCATTTTCATTCTAAGTTGCCTCATACATTGTGGAGAATTGGGACTCACATGCTTTAAATAAATTGCATTCTAGGGTCCCCCTCCAAGCAGCTGCTAACTATTAATGCTGGCATTTCTATATGTGTGTGTGCCTGTATAGGTATATTTCAATTCTCATATCAGTTTGAGATTTTTAAAAAAATGTACTAAAATCTAGTTGGATCCATTTACGATGTCTGTGTAATTAGTCTTCTTGTGGAACTTTTGCCATTTTAATTCCTTCAGAAAAATGACACAGTGTAATTTTTATCTATCTATAGTCAGCTTAGAAGTCATGGGCAAATGAGTTTGTAGATATAAATGATGTTAGGAGCTGAATGTATTTGAAGTGCTTTTTGATATGCTACATGATGGTCAGAATCATGAAAGTTCTGTTGGGTTGTGAAAGGAGTTGTGCCTTTGAGAAGAGCAGCAGGGAAAACTGAAAACACCACCTGCATCCTTGGCTTCCCTTCCGTATATTTATTTGACGGATAGGGAGAAGCTTTTGAGTACGTGTTAGTCCTGTATTTGTATAAGTCTTCATAGATAACAATTCCTTGATCTGTATAGATTGGAGAGGTGTGGAAAGAACTTTTTATCTTATCCTCTCTGCAAAGATTACCATCTGAATTGGTAAAGTTTATATGAAATGATTTTATTGATCAGCCAATTGGCCTGACCAAAACAGACAATATAAACACAACATACAGTATGCACCTAGTCCGAGTAATTGGTAACTTGGAATAAAAAATCTACATCCACACTACTCATGAAATTCATCCTTTTTGGCATTGTTTTGTGCCTTCAAAATCAATTCAATTTTGAAAAAAAACATGCTGTGTCTTTATACAGATAGCAGAAACCACAAATACCTTGTTAATAAGAAAGCTAATTTTGAAACAAATATTTTTATTGTGTTTGTTTGTTAACCTCTCTCATAACTTTCCTAGCACCTTCAAGAGGGCAGAAAAGCTCAGCAGTATCTTGATATGTGTTGGAAGCAGATGGATAATGTGAGTTTCTCCTCACTTCTTTTCCCCCCTCTTTATCTTATAATAGCAGAATATGGTGGACATTTAAAAGTAAAGACACTGGATCAAGTTATCACTGAGCTGTTGTGTTGTTTTTTTAAAAATAGATTACATAGATTGCTTTATTTGTGGGCATCATTACATTTCTAATTTATCAATAAATAGGCTATTTTTTCCATAACGTGGCCTCGAGGGACTCAGGGGCTAAACTTTAGCTCTATCAGACTTCGTTGAAAATACCTTCCCTTGTGGCTCTTAACAAGATACTGGAAGCAACTTTTGCCTTAGAATAAGAGCTCTAAATAAACGAAACTACAGTCAGCCCTCTGTGGTCACGTATTCAACCCTCAATGGCTTGAAAGTGTTCTCCCTTCCCCCCCAAAATACCCAAAAGCAAACCTGATTTTGCTAATTTTATATAAGGCACATTATTTTACTGTATTGTTGTATATGATGGAACCTGATCACCCACATATTTTGGTATCCATGAAGGGTTCTGGAACCAAACCCTAGTGGATACCAATGGCCCACTGTATTAAGACGGTTAAAATCATTGACCTTTTCTTGTAACTTTTGTAAGGCTTGAACTTTATTTTGAGACTAGTTTTCAAGAATCTGTATAGGTTTTTTTTTTAATTGGGGTGTTATCAGGAAAGGAAACAATCAGTCTTCACCTATTGTTATTTCTCTTTTAGGTAAGTTAAGATATGTCCTTATCTTTTTGATGGATCATTTAAAAATGATCACTCCAAGCTGTTTTAGTCCTGCCTCCTAAACTCCTATTCTTCAGAATTGACATATTGCTCTAAGGCAGGTGACATTCTCTTCCTGCAATTGCCTTTGTGATCTTTGCCATTTGCCCCCTTCCTCCCACTGAATTTACTATAGTGAATCAAGTTTGGGGCCTCACTTCTCCTTCACCTCTAAATGTGAGACGGCTTACAACCCATGAGAAATGTACAGCGATATCCTGGTTCATGTCACAGACCAATTTCCTAAATAGTGTGGTAGCGGTGCATTCTTCATGGTGTACATAATGCCACATGTAAACAGGCATTCTCTACAGAAACCTAGATATACAGTGGATTCTAATCTTCCAATCCTCCATTTCCACATTTTATACAAGAATACTGCACCATTGCAACTCTCTCTGGAGTTCCTGACTCATATATTAAGAATGTGGTGGTCAAGAATGTGTGTGTGAATCAGGCTTGTGTTCCTCCTCTTCCCACCCCATTTGATTATCAATAGGAAGTTGATTGGAATAATACATTGTACTTCAATTATTGAGAAAGGTATAATATCATAGTGACAGAATCACTGCCTATACTGAAGACAGAAAAGTACTGTGAGAAGAATGAGTTACAGTTGTGCTTTATTGCTCTGTAAACTTCACAACTTCCTGTGAGCAACTAATGCATTTTTTCAGCTTCCTCCGCCCCCTCAGCCTTTCCTTGCTGCTTTTAAACCTCACATTAGCTTAAAAATAGAGGTTGTAACCCTAAAGGAAGTGGGAAAGAAAAGTGGCATCCTTCGAATGCCTAAAGGAATTAGCTAATTTCTAACCTCAGTTTAAATCAAGACCTTGGTTTGCAAGACCTTATTTGAATTGTTGAGGGGATAGGGTGACTTAAGGGTCTTTCATTTATTGGGTATCTCTAAGTCAAAGTCAACTTGAAGGATGTTAACAACAACAGCTCTGCTTTAGAGGTGAGCAAATGCAGTGGGGTTAAAGGCCAATTTTCTGCAGCTCGGACTGTCTGAGCTGTACATTTTGTCAAAGATTATTATGTTTATTTATACCTCACTTTTTCTCTGCACAAAGGAGACACAAAGCAACTGACACAAATTGTGTTAATGTTCTTTTTTGGGTTTGAAAGGTGAATTTTTTATGTTGAGAAGAGGCTCTACCATCAATTTATCGCCACTCTCAAATGCTTCTAAAAGAAGCATTTCACCTTCTTTTGCCAGAAGAAAGGCAGCCCATGGTATCCTGAGTGCCCGAAAAAGTAAAGACTGTAGAAAGTCACAGGAGGTCAATTGTAGCCACAAAGCTATACTTTGCCCACTCCTGTTCTATTTTAATGTGATAATTAAGCAAGCGCTTGCAGGTAAAAATAAGTTTTTTCAAAATTGAACGGCAACCATAAGTGGGTCTAAAAAAATTAAAGTGGCACTTCATATTGATTTGTAAATGTAACATGCTGTTCTTATATTTTAGAGCAAAAAGAAATTTGAGAGAGAGTGCAGAGAAGCAGAAAAGGCACAACAGTGTTATGAAAGACTGGATAATGATACCAATGCCACTAAAGCGGATGTTGAGAAAGTAAGATATTATTAGAATGGCTAACATGTTTTTGTTCCCATACCAATATTTGAACATAATATTTTGTGAAAGTTTGTTATCTTTTAAAAACGTATTATGCTTATCAAGGAGACATGGAATCACTGGGTGCACCTAAACATCCCATTTTTCAATTCTCTGAACTGAATTGGACAAACCCTTCACACTGGGATTGCAAGTTGCTGTTCATTCTTGATTTGCAACTGTATTTTGGAGTCGTTCCTGGAGGAGTCATTTCAGATTCAAAAGTGTATACATCCCTGATACTTACATTACTATATCGTTCTCAGAAAAGTTCAAAGTCTGTTACTTTTCAGTCTGAGAATACATCATTTTTTCTGTTCAACAGAAGTTTTATTTAACGTAATTTAAACTCAAAAGACAAACTTTCTTTCTTATTACAGTTACATGTATGTTAACAAAGTTGTTGTGTGGCTGGCATTTATTTCAGAAGTAGAAATAGCATGGAAAGAATAGGAATTAGTTGAATCTTCTTGAGACCTCTTGAAGGATTCTTCCAAAATCCATCCAGGGATTACTTGCTTTTGCTATCCTCCAGTTTTTAAATTATTTATTTATTTATTTATTTATTTGCAATATTTATATTCTGCCCTTTTCGCCCCGTAGGGGACTCAGGGCAAATTACAATGTACTTATACATGGCAAACATTCAATGCTATAGACACACAACATATATAGACAGACACACAGAGGCTACTTAACATTCCAACTTTTTTTAATGAGGGCATTCTGGCCACCAGGGGAGCTGTCGCTTCATCGTCAATTAGTGACACTGATGACACTGATGAAGTACATCCTTATTCTTTGCATGCTTGCTGGAGATTTTTATGGTGTTGTAAATTAGTTAAATTAACCTTCCTTGCATATGCGTTACCTAAATTTCCTACTTGACAGATGCAACTGTCTTTCGGGTGGCAAAGGTCGACAGCAAGCTATACAAATTGGTCAGAAGCTCACTCTAACCTGGGCTGGCTTCGAACTCATGACCTTTCAATCAGTAGTGATCTTTATGCTGCTGACTCTCAGCCAGCTGCGCCACAGTTTTGGTGCTTCAGAAGCAGATATGTTTTGGTAGACAGGCATGCAGGACTTTTTAAAAACATGTTGAACTACTTGAAAAGACAGCCTTGTTCCCCATTAGTTTCTGTTTTGCTATTCACACATGCTCATTAAGGAATTCCATAGGCAGATTTTCTTTTACTTTACTCATTGTAAGCAGATGTACTAAGTACTATAGAATTAGCTGGAGAAGAACTCCATTGTTTCTTAGCTCAAGCTTCTATTGCATTCATTATTGCATACACACTGCAGCAACCTAACACAAAAAGTATGTTTGTCCGACCATCCTTCAAAATCTTCTCAATGCTCTACACTCATGTGGGTCCCCAGGTGTTTTGGCCTACAACTCCCAGAAATCCCATCCAGTTTACCAACTGTTAGGATTTCTGGGAGTTGAAGGCCAAAACATCTTGGAACCCACAGGTTGAGAACCACTGCTCTACACTGTTACCTAGAAACCTTACTTCCTTTCATTTTACAAAAAATCATTAATATGGCATTTCTCCTCCTCCGTTCACACTCTCTGTATGCTACCTCCAACTGCTTCCAGTTCTTCAGAGCAGATTGTGGGGGTACACGGGGAATCATAATGCTAACAGGTGGCCCATTCTGCTGTCTGTATTCTTTCTGCTAGCAGATGAGACCCCACTGGATTTCACTTTTATCTTACAGACTTCAGGAAGATGAAGGTTTTGTTATTTTAGTCCCAGTTAGACACAGATGAACAGTCATCCTTTGATACTGATAAGAGAATTATGGAAAAAGTTGGTTAGGACAAGGATTTTGATATATGACAATTGAATCTAGAAGCCTTTTATGAATCATGTCTCATATAGTGGGGCTGATTTTTTGATACATTGTTTTCTACATGGAATGGTCTTTGTTGCCATTGATGAAAGAACAGTTACTGGAAAAACTTATGACCAAAACAGTAGCAGTATGCTTTCGTATGAGGGCATCAAGATAGATGTATGTTACATCTGTCTGGAGTTAATGGATTTTTATAAACACTGTTGGTGAATTGCTTCACCAGTAAAGAAGTCTCTTTCTGTGTAGAGGGATAATGTTCTGTAATGTTAATCTCACTTGAAAAAAATAAGTTTAAGGTTAGAGAAGGCGGCTTCTCAAACTCTTCCCACTCACAACCCCTTTTTGTCTAAGGAATTTTATGTTACCTCAGTTATATATGAAATAGGTATAAAACCCAAACATTTACTGATAACAAATCAGTATTTGTATAGCTTGCTGAACAGGCTGATTTTCCTTTTTGTGGTGTACAGCTGAAGCATTTTCAGCAGAGTCCACTGTAAACTCTGTATGCTGTTGCTAAGAGATTTGTGTAAATAAATGGAGTTCAGAAACCATTTACTGTTGCCAGATTTTTTGTGACCCCAAAGGATGAGTTAAAGGGTTGGGACCCACAGTTTAAGAAGCAGTGGCCTAAAGAGACACTTGCTTTGCTTTGTTTTCTGCATACTTTTGATTGAGTAAATTGATTTTTGCAAATGTTTGGGAGGATGTTGCAAATGAGTATTAATTTTTATAATACTGAATATATGACACTGGAAATGCTAATGAAACTTTAAATGGCATACTAAGACTTCACTAATACTAAAGGAAGTTTGTGAAGTGAAAGCTGATCATGTTGCTAAGCCTATGTATAAACAACCTTTTAAAAGGGTGGGGTTGATCTTTCTTTGTGTCCTTAGGCAAAACAGCAATTAAACCTGCGTACACACATGGCTGATGAAAACAAAAACGAGTATGCTGCACAATTACAGAACTTTAATGGTGAACAGCACAAACATTTCTACATTGTTATTCCTCAAATTTACAAGGTAAATCTTTCATTGAAATCAAACTTTTTAAAAATTTCTGTAAACTATGGAAAAACCTTTTTAATGTACTTCCAGTTTTTTAAGCAAAAAGTAAAATTAATTTGGTTCCCTTAAAAAAACAAGATGTATGTCCCCTGGTAAGCACTTCCTCCTCTCTAGGTTTAATTGATTTGTTAACTAAACACACCAGATTTGGGCATGGTTAGCTTTTTGTTACACCTTATTTGCATTTGGACATTTGGAAACAATTTAGATACCATGTCCATACTGACGGAGTATGCTCAGTTTTCAGCAATAGCTACAATCTATTCTGAAAAACATTTTCTCTGTACTCCATTGTGAAGTGCAAGATTTTTTAAAGAAAATATTTTTTTATAAAGAAGCAATAAAATATGCGTCAGTATCTACAATCAAACACTTAGTATTATGTGAGGGACATAATTTTCAGTGTATAACCTGGAACCCTAATTTTCTTACTTGAAATGAACAATGTCTTGGACTTCTGACCATGCATACATAGAATTGCTCTGGAGAACCTAATGATGCCTAGAAAATTATTATTTCTAGGACTGCAGTGCTATTCTGTGGTAAGCATCAGTTCTGATAATTTCAGATTGCATGACTGTGTTCCCAAGGGCATCTGGTTCCCCATCCTTACATGACCCACTTCCCCTGTTCCGGGGAAGTTTTGGTATTAAATAATTACAGGGGAATTCCTGAAAAACAGAGGACCAGGAAGCTATGGGGATGTTGCTTCTCTTTGCAGATGGATCATTTTTGTATGTGAACTTGTTTCCCATGTTGCCTTTGTTATTTTCTTCTTCTAATTTAAAAAAATTAATGCAATATGACAAGTGTGCAAAATTCCATTACATACAGTGGAGCAGCAAATCAGTATCAGGAAGAAATCACGCATCTGGATATGCTTTTGTATTTGCAGTGGCTTGAAAGAAAATAGTCTAGTTTTTATTTTTTTTATATACCCGATTGTTTGTGTTGTCTCACAAATCTGTATAAGATTTGGAAGTATAAGAAAGAGTCTGTGCAAGGGAGGGAGAGTATATTAGTTATTAGCAATAGTTATAATAGTGGTATAGTATGGGTTGAGTATCCCTTCTTTGAAATACCTGGGACCAGAAATGTTTTCGTTTTCAGAGGTATTTTTTTTCCGATTTTGGAATATTTGCTTTTACATCTTGGATGTCCATACCTCCTGCTGTTTCATAGATTCTCATATCTCTCCAGCCTTGAGTCTTGTTTGTTCACTACTCGTTTGTTCACTATGCATGAGACATGAGGCTGGAGAGAGACTGGGGATCTCAGAGAATGAGGATATAAGAGAGCTTATATTTGGATTGGGGGAAGTACTTTATAGGCAATCTCCAGGCTGCCTCCCACCTACACCTTGTGTATGAACGAGCAGGAGCACTGTATCTACGGCATTAAAGACTGAAGCAGGTAGCTAGCAGCAATATGTTTTTTTATTTTGGAGCACTTCGGATTTCCGGATTACGAATACTCAAACTGTAGTTATAAGAAGACCTAATACATTATTTCTTTTTATTACATCAGCATTTCTTCCTAAAAGAGTGAAATCAGAATTTTGGGGTCCTTGATGTTTTTGGAATCTCAGCAATGGCTTATTAGTAAACTATCTCAAAGCATTGCATAGCATGGGTTGTTGTATTTTTTTTGGGCTATATGACCATGTTCTAGAGGCATTCTCTCCTGACGTTTCGCCTGCATCTATGGTGAGCATCCTCAGAGGTAGTGAGGTCTGTTGGAACAAGGAAAATGGGTTTATATATCTGTGGAATGACCAGGGTGGGACAAAGAACTCTTGTCTGTTGGAGCTAGGTGTGAATGTTTCAACTGACCACATTGATTAGCATTTGATGGCCTGGCAGTGCCTGGGGCAATCTTTTGTTGAGAGGTGATTAGATGTCCTTGATTGTTTCCTCTCTGTTTTGCTGTTGTAATTTTAGAGTTTTTTTTATTCATTTTCATGGTTTCCTCCTTTCTGTTCAAGTTGTCCACATGCTTGTGGATTTCATTGGCTTCTCTGTGTAGCCTGACATCGTGGTTGTTAGAGTGGTCCAGCATTTCTGTATTTTCAAATAATATGCTGTGTCCAGGTTGGTTCATCAGGTGCTCTGCTACGGCTGACTTCTCTGGTTGAATTAGTCTGCAGTGCCTTTCATGTTCCTTGATTCGTGTTTGGGCAATGCTGTGTTTGGTGGTCCCTATGTAGACCTGTCCACAGCTGCATGGTATACGGTAGATTCCTGCAGAAGTGAGAGGATCCCTCTTGTCCTTTGCTGAATGTAGCATTTGTTGGATTTTCTTGGTGGGTCTGTAGATGGTTTTGTATGTTGTGTTTCCTCATCAGCTTCCCTATGCGGTCGGTGGTTCCCTTGATGTATGGCAAGAACACTTTTCCTCTGGGTGGATCTTTGTCTTTACTCTTGTGGCTTGTTTGTCGGTCTTGCAGCTCTTCTGATGTCTGAGGTGGAGTATCCATTGGCCTGTAAAGCCCAGTTTAGGTGGTTCAGTTCTTCCTGGAGGAGGTGGGGTTCGCAAATTCTTTTTGCACTGTCTGCCAAGGCTTTAATGGTGCTTCTTTTGCATAGCATGTTTTGCATAGCATGTTTTGATACTGACAACCCAATCCAATTCATGATTCTTGAAGTAATGTTCTTGACCTCAATGGAGAAAAGTGATTGTAGCTTCAGGTTTGTTTCTGTGGTTCTTTTGTTCTTCTTTTGATCAGCATCTTGGTTATTAAATACATTGTGTTGCTGGAAAAGATTTTGACAGACATACAAGTGAATAAAATAGCTGTATAAGATTTTCTAACAATTGCAAATAAATAAATACTTTTGAGAGATGTGTTCTTTTCATCTGGAACACATTTTACCATGCACAGCTTATTAGCTTTGACACTTCCAAAACACTAGTAAATTTTCAAGAATTATTTGTGTCAGAATAATTTAGATTCGCAGTTGTAACTAATAAGTCTCACTATGGATGTAAAATGTATCATTTTTATTGTTGTTATGTAGTTTTCTGTGGGCAATAGTTATTTACAATGTCTTGATTTGATTTTAGTTTACTTAAACCTAACTTGGTTACTGATACTTTGTCAGTTAATTTTAATCCTTTATTTAATCTATTGCATTCCCTTTCCACTGGTTGATAATGTGCTGGATATAAATTATAAAATTAATAATGTTTTTATTTAAACTGGGAGGAACAGTAGCCCAAAACTTTAAAAAAATAAGTGCACAGTATCAGGATAAGGGACATCCAGGCTTTTGTTTATTACCATAGCACCTCCAAGAAATGGATGAACGAAGAACCATCAAGCTTAGTGAATGTTACAGAGGGTTTGCAGATTCTGAACGCAAAGTTATTCCAATAATCTCGAAATGTTTAGAAGGAATGATTGCTGCAGCAAAATCAGTAGATGAACGCAGGGTAAGTTGAATTCATGTTACTGATATTGAACATGTTTCCTGTAACAGAGTCAATTTAAATAATGATTCCAAATTCCCATTACCAGATGAGTTGTAATGTTTAAGGCCATGTGATTGTCCATCCACATAGTGTTCCTCTTCAAGAGCATGATGGCAGCTCCCTTGCAACCCAGGCAGCCAAAAACAAGGCCTAGCATGTCTCTTGTGTTCCCATCCTTGGTTGTGAGAATACAATCAGCTCTAGGGGTGATCTCATGTAGACAACTGTTGAAAATTTGCTAATTAATTATTTTAATTGTTTAATCTTATTATCTGTCTCAGTCATAAGAAATTCATAATGTAAATAGTGCTTTTATTATAGATGACTCAGATTTATTGGTTTTTTGTTTGTTTGTTTGTTTTTTTGGCCAGAGGGATTGTTATGTCAGGGTGCCTCTTAGAGATTTTGAATTTTTATAGATTTTTTTCCTTAAAGTTCAGTCAGTATGTCTCCAGGTATAAGTGTTGGTTGACTGACCTTAGTGGTTTTCATCTACTCTTGCATTTCTTCTGTTTTCCCTATCAGGGAATGTCAATGAAATATATAGAGGTATAAAAATCACATTGGCGCAGTGTACACTTGCAGCAGATTAGCTGTAAGCCTCATAAAGTAGATTATGAAATGAGTGCTGAGATTCTAAAATGTTTAGCATTGATTTGACATTGCAGTGTTTACATATTGAAGAGTGCCAAAATTAGAGTCTCTGAGACTGATATTGTATCATCTTCTGATGGAGAGTTATTTTCCACACATAAATGTTTGAATTCCTGATCATCTGCTCTGTGCTTCTATATAAACCTGGAGAGGGTTTCAAGCATGATCTTGTTGTGGAGGAGACAAAGTATTTTATACTTCGTGTTCTGTTTTATGTCTGTCTTATCCAAAGTAGTAGTTTTTTGCACATCCAGTACCTGAGTCATATTTAAAATGGTCTTTACCTTGAATGCTTAAACATTTCTTTTCTGGAGGTATATACATTCCAATTTGGTTATAATGAAGAAGTGAAATAACAGGAAATACCAGGTGCTTGAATGTCCTGTCCTGTCTGCATCATCATCATTATATTAAAATCCAATTAAGATAGTTGTTCAGAACAAAGACTCTGGAAAATACTGCTTTCAAGTGAATTAATTCCTTCTGGAATATCAGAAAATTCTGATTGTCTCCTCTAAGCTGTTTATTTAACATCTGCTGTATTTTAAAGTACCACTTCAGTGAAGCCATTCATTCTCTGTGTAATCATTTTATAACCATCATATCTCTCCCATCAAGGATTCTCAAATAGTAATAGACTCCTTCAAGTCTGGTTTTGAACCTCCGGGAGACTTTCCATTTGAAGATTACAGCCAGCATATTTACAGGACTGTTTCCGATGGAACAATCAGTACACCAAAGCAGGAAGGGATGAAAATTGATGCAAAAACCACTGTGGGCAAAGCTAAGGGCAAGCTGTGGCTTTTTGGAAAGAAACCAAAGGTAAAAGACTATTTACAAATGAAAATGTACTCAGAATTTGTGGTTCAAGGATCAAATAGCGTCCTTTACATCACCTTTAGAAACAATTGTGATCCTAAAAATAATTTTGAAAGTATTCATCTAGACATAATTTCGATGTGCTTACTTGACTGTTTTAGAAAATTGATTTCAGATATGGTTGGCTGTTTCACTTTGCTTTTATGAACTCTTGTCCATCCTCCAGCTTGTTTTGCTAATCCAGCAGTTAACTTTCAGTCTATCTGAGATGTTTGTAGTTAGATAAATGTAATACATCTCCCGAAGCTTCTTTATCTGCTTGGAATTGTCTCACTAGTTGTGGTCAAGCAACATATTCTTCTGCTCCACGCACACACATGCCTGGCCAGAAACTATTGAACTGGTATGAGCAATTGTGTAGGTGTTTCTGTGGTAGCTGTTTTAGTGTTCAGACTATGCTATATCATGTCATGCTAGTATTGGGGTTTGACTGTTGTACTGAAACTGGGTGAGAGATCAGGATATTTGAACATTAGTGCTTGTGCATTTCTAAACTTCTAATATTATTAATTTAGCTCTCCTGTTCAGCAATCTTTTTATTTGCAGCTCCATGGCAGTAATGTAAAACAATATCACTTTAAAGATGTACAAATACGTCTCAAGATTAAAGGGAAAGCAAATGCTATATTTCCTGGATTGGAAATTAAGGCTGTGTTGCAGAAGTTCTTAGTTTGGCGCCCAGCAAAGAACATAAGCTCTGTTTTTTCCCTCTTTCATTAAAGTATTGTGGGATATGTGTGAAATTAATGCAGGACATATTATTCCTGTAGATAAAAAAAAACTAGCTAATCTTCCTTTTAAAACTGTAGCACGCATATGATACCTTATCAGTGCCATTCCTTCAGTCTTTTCAATGGTTATGCTTTGAAGAAATCCAGCATTGAGGGCATGCAGATTTCTAACATTAAAACAGAAGAGTGTGTTGAGTTTTGGACCAACCTTTCTGAATACTGGAAAGCAAAAGGAATAGATAATGGATGTAATAAAACAAAAACCTGCTATGCTGACTTTCTCATTTGTTTTCTAGTGGTACATTTTTGGTACAGCTTTAGCAGGGAGATTCTCCCTTATTTTTGAAACTCCTATGAAAAATATGTTTTTAATTATGTAAAATGTATGACTAAATCTATGACTAAGGAACTCTGCTTTTCTCTTTTTCAGTTCTTCTTACATTCTTACTGTTATGTGTCATTCTGATGATAAAACCAACAAAGGGTTTTGTGGCACCTTAGAATTAAAAAAAAATATCCTGGCACCAGTTTAATGATTATGATAAACTCTGATGTTTATTATTTTGGTGGAAACAAATAATGTCATGATATTGGTCCTAGAAAAGGGTGGGCTTTATCCATTTGTTGAAGTGAGTCAGATGCATGAGTGGAAGGAAGGGATTTCAACATATTTTCCCCTGTAGCCCACAACATCCTCACTGTTTTGGAAGTTTCTCCAACCTTTCAGATATACTGGGAAGGATGTTCTATAGGGGGCTGTAGAAATAATATTAACACCTCTTTTCCACTCATGCAACTCAAAATCTAGTTTGTGAATTTAAAGGGGATAAAGTAGAATTTTCACACCTTTTGGAATATTTGCTTTATCTATTTCTTTCTTTATTTCTGTATCAGCCACAGTCTCTACCCCTTACCCCTACTAGTTTATTCACATCCAGTGGTTCTAATGGTGCCCAGTATTCCATATTCTCCATTGAACAAGTGCATTATTGCATGAGTGAAATAAAATCAGGGAGGCCCAGAATTCCTTCTTTCAGAAGTCTAAAAAGGGTAAGTTTCACAATGGGCTGTAGGTGCATGACAGCGCAATGAACTGTGTGCTTGTGGTGTGGCGTTTTAGTTCTCTCCACTCTCATTATAAGGCTTTCTGCTAACAGTGGTTGTATAAGAGGTCATTGGGCTTTGTGTCTTGCTGTGTAATAGCTGTGCTGAATTGAACATGTGGTGTTATTATTCAGAATAGGTAGTTTTGAGAAGAGTATGCCAAGCTCATGCTTTTCATATCCTTCTGGTTCACCGCAGTTCCATATATAACATACTTGGACCAGGGAAACAGGTAGGGTGATGAGGCATGGAGATAAGAGCCCTAGTTTGCTGATATCTCTGTCTGTGTGTAGATTTCCTCAGGGATGTTGATGCTGCAGGTGCCACCTACACTATTCTTTACATGAAAGCTTAATTATGGTTAGAAAAAGCTTTTGTCCCACACTTCTTCCAAATAGCTTAGGACAGTGTGTGAGATGTCTTCCCCCCTGCCCCATGTTCACAACAATCCTGTGTGGCCAGCTAGGCAGCAGAGACATTTTGCCCCAGGAATTGTCCAGTAAATTTTGGATAGAGAGTTGAACTCTGGTCTTTCTGGTTTAAGTCCAGTGCTCTTAACTGTTGTAACACCTTTGCTGTCTTGATGTGTGGTGGTCAGATATCTCACTTTGAACATCACAATGTATTGGCCTAGGCGAAAGAACATTGTTCTCCTACCCACATGGAGTGGTTTTCTTTCTCTGTTATTTATTACTATGGGAAATGGAGCTCAGGCATAAGTCATAATCTCAGAATTGTTTCCTCCCCACCTCCACTTCTGTCTCTCTATAAAACTGCCCTCTAGTGTCCGTTTGAGGATAGACTATTCCAGGCTGTACGTGCACTGACATTACCCCATTGTCAAGAATACACATGTCTAAAAAGCTATATATTTTTTCATTTAACATGTATATTAAGCCAGTTTGTACGAACATTTGCAAGCTTTTTAGACCTGCAGATTATTAAAAAGTCAGTTTCTGAACAGAAGAATTTGGGGGAAAGAAACCGTGCCTGCTTGCAGCTTAAATATTATGAGAATATTTATATTAATCTAACACATTATTACTGTATTTAAATGTATTATGATTTTTAAATGCGGTGGTTTCTTTTACTATGATTCATTTAAAGTTGTTTCCTGAAGGGCACTTTTGTTGTTGTTTAAACCACATTTCATCATTTCTGAATTACTCCTTAATGCCATTTTCTGGGGGAGATCAAGGAAGTATGCTTGAAAATTGATAATGGCATATTCTGCATATGGAATTTGTTCTAGGGATCAAGTGATTGCCTAGCAACGCTGATTAAGTCACGATGAGAGAGCTACTTTTCTATCCTGACGTCTCTGAAGTACATCTGCTCATATGTGAGACTAAAATGTTGGGCTGTTGATTACTTAATGTTGCAAGTGAGTGCATTTGTAAAAAAAATTACCCATATCAATATATGCCATTTTGTAAAATTAAATATAAAACTGAACATGACCTAACATACTGCAGTAAAAGCTGGATAAGCTGGTCTAGGAAGAGGAAGATCAGAGTCCAAAGATACCATAAAACGATGCCAGTTAATCATTAAAGAAATTCTTATTTTTTGGGATGACTTTTTTTGCATTCTGTATAGTCTTCGGTGGCACTACAGCATGGCACCAAAGGAAAATATTAACATACATGAACTGCATTTCTAAAGATGTTTAGCTCAGCATGAAGACACCATATTCTGTATCTCAGAATGTATTAAAAATAGAGTTCACTGCTTCTGTGTGTGTTTCTAGCACTATCATTTTTTAATCGTCATTGGGCATCTATCACTTCTATCTCATTTTTCTTCCTTCAGTGGAGCCTGATGGATCTTATGTCAGAGGAATGTTAAATTCATTCTTGATTTTAGTCAGGACTTAAAACCACCTAAGCTGCTGAATGTATTTGGGGAACAGGTTTCAAAGCTTTGGATAGTTACTTTGGTGACTTTGAGGACTTGACATTAAAGCGGAATAACTTCACTGTTCCACTGACAGTGGCATTGAATTGGAGCCACTATTAGTATATTTTTGATAGTAAGAAAGAAGATGGAAGGATAACAAGGAGGGTTATGCATGAAAGACAATGATTTCTGGACCCACCATAAATTCCATAATAAAAGCCTTGCCTTGAAGCACTTTATATTTACTTAAATTTGCATGTGTTTCTATGCTTCCATAGGTCAAGTTTTCAACGGGCTTCAGTTTTCTGGGACAGAATAACTGAAAGTTACTTTCTTGAGTCACAAAGGAATGAGAAAACTAGAGATTGTAAAATACTTTAGGAACTTCCTTTGTATCTGTTTAGTCAGGTTGTGAACTGATAGTAGATTTTATGTTTCTTGACATACGTTCATACATCCTTTAGCCTGATTAGGTCATTAAGAGGATACACTCACAATTTCCAATTTATAACCTCGTAATTGGTTAGAATTTTATAATAACTAAATAAGCTGACTTGGGGCTGGCTAAAACATACAAATCACAATTGTTTCTCTTTTCTGTTAATTGCTGATTTTACTCGATTAGCTTTGAAGAATTTATTAGTATCTCATTAGAAAAAAGGATGTCTGATACTTCTTTCTATTAATACTGTAAGAGCTGATGTGGTTGAAACTACACTTAAGAGTCCATTCATCACACTAATGAAATTACTGTCAGGGTTTCCTGTTCCAGCATTATCTTGCATCCCCTAAACGAGGCAATCATGCTGCCTTTGTTCAGTTCAGAAAGCACATTCAGTCCAGAAGTGTATGTGTGTTGAGTACACAAGTGTTGTTCTTTGGCAGCCTGTGGATAGTTTCCTGCACAGAATTCTCAACTATAGATTTTGGTGTGAGAGCTGCTAGAAGGCAAAGCTTCTTCAAAAAAAGAACCTAAACAGTATGATTTTTAGTTACCCCATTCCAAACATCCAGTTCCTGGAGGTTAGGGGTTTGCTGGTGAATAGAAATGGTGAATAGATGCTTTTGATTATGCTCCATGATCAGTTTGAGCTAAAGTACTCTATATTCTCATGTATAAGTCTAGAAATTTTACTCAGAAAATCATCCTAAAAAGCTTGAGCTGAATAATCTATAGTTCAACATAAGTATTCTGAATAGAGTGGTGAATGACAAGAGATTAGTTTATCCTGGGAGAACCTGAAAGAAGTAGCAATCTTCTCTGCTCTTTCCTGTGGTGCTTCTCCTAGCTTTTTTGAATACTTGGGAAGGGAAATAACGGAAATAACAAGGGCCCCCGAGGTGGGATTGCTGTTATCCCTAAGTGAGATATTGACAAGCTGGAATGTGTCCAGAGGAGGGCAACTACAGTGATTCCACCTGAACATTAGAAAGAACTTTCTGACTCTAAGAGTTGTTCAGCAGTGGAACTCTCTGCCTCAAGAGTGTGGTGGAAGCTCCTTCTTTTAACAGAGGCTGGAATGGCCATCTATCAAAGGTACTTTGATTGTGCTTTTCCTTCAGGGCAGGGGGTTGGACTGGATGGCCAATGGGATCTCTTCCAACTTTATCATTTTGTGAATCTCTTCAGAATAACACACAGGTCATATCAAAATCTATTATCACTGGGATTCGTTTATACATGAGTATACAGGCAATCATCAAGTTACGAACAAGATAGGTTCTGTAGGTTCTTAAGCTGAATTTGTTAGTAAGTTGGAACAGGTACATTTTTAAAGTAATACAGCTTAGAACAGTGCTTCTCAACCTTGGGTCCCCAGATGTTTTTGGCCTACAACTCCCAGAAATCCCAGCCAGTTTACCAGCTGTTAGGATTTCTGGGAATTGTAGGCCAAAAACATCTGGGGACCCCAGGTTGAGAACCACTGGCTTAGAAGCTTCCGTCAGAGCCTGCTCAGGTGTAATATACTCCACAAGTGTAAATTCACAGAGGACTACTCGAAGAAACACAGTTACAGGCAGGCAACCTGTCCATATTCTTTATTTAGATAGCACAGGGAAGGGTGAATACCCCTGTGTTGTTTGTTTTGCTGTCTGTGTCTATGTTTAAGACTCACTTCACTTTCTGTCCCTGTGATTACTGGATTTTGAAAAAATTGGCTTGTTTTAGAGACAAGGATTGATGATAATGCTTCAGTGGAGACACCTTGCACCATGATAACCCTTTCAGGAGTGAATTTGCTTTCTAGGGAAATATTTCTCTCTTCCTATGGTCTCATCACCATTTTTAACTATGAGTCATTTGTAAATCAGATGTTTGTAACTTGGGGACTGTCTGTATGTGTTCAATGTGTTGGTGGAAGAGAAGCACATAGGGTCTCTGTATACGTTTTTCTCAGCCAACATTGAATGTAGCTTGTGGGACCAGAAATGCTAGGTTCAGACTATGGGGCCAGAAACTTTGGATGCAGTTGCCATGTATTCACACCGATGTATCCATTTCATATTATTAATTTATAGCCTTGAGTCATAGCTCTTCCTCGGCAGAGGAAGAGGATGTAACATTATCAGAATGTTGTGCTTTCTAGTATTAACACTTTGGCTCTTTTTTAAAACGTTGGACTCAGCAGAGAAATTGCTTAGTGATCCTATGAAATAGAGTATTTCAGGGTTTTTCTCTCTTCATTAAACAATTGTTGTTGTTGTTCATTCGTTCAGTCGTCTCCGACTCTTCGTGACCTCATGGACCAGCCCACGCCAGAGCTCCCTGTCGGCCGTTACCACCCCCAGCTCCCTCAAGGTCAGTCCAGTCACTTCAAGGATGCCATCCATCCATCTTGCCCTTGGTCGGCCCCTCTTCCTTTTCCTTCCATTTCCCCAGCATAATTGTCTTCTCTAGGCTTTCCTGTCTCCTCATGATGTGGCCAAAGTACTTCAACTTTGTCTCTAGTATCTTTCCTTCCAATGAGCAGTCGGGCTTTATTTCCTGGAGGATGGACTGGTTGGATCTTCTCGCAGTCCAAGGCACTCTCAGCACTTTCCTCCAACACCACAGCTCAAAAGCATCTATCTTCCTTCGCTCAGCCTTCCCTAAGGTCCAGCTCTCACATCCGTAGGGTTACTACAGGGAATACCATGGCTTTGACTAGGCGGATCTTTGTTGCCAGTCTGATGTCTCTACTCTTCACTATTTTATCGAGACTGGACATTGCTCTCCTCCCAAGAAGTAAGCGTCTTCTGATTTCCTGGCTACAGTCTGCATCTGCAGTAATCTTTGCCCCTAGAAATACAAAGTCTGTCACGGCCTCCACGGTTTTTCCTTCTATTTTCCAGTTGTCAATCATTCTTGTTGCCATAATCTTGGTTTTTTTGACGTTTAGCTGCAACCCGGCTTTTGCGCTTTCTTCTTTCACCTTGATTAGAAGGCTCCTCAGCTCCTCCTCGCTTTCCATCAGGGTGGTGTCATCTGCATATCTGAGGTTGTTAATGTTTCTTCCAGCAATTTTCACTCCAGCCTTGCATTCATCAAGCCCCGCACATCGCATGATGTGTTCTGCATACAAGTTAAAAACATTAAACAATACTCATAACATTTGAAGGACATCATACAATCTTGAAGCTGTGGCCTGTTTCAGCCATTAGAAGTCCATCCAGCAGCAGCTGAGCATATTGAAAACTGGTGAAATCTTTAAGGGCATTTAATATGATGTTGACATAGATTATCTAAAAGTAATAATAAATACAAATACAGCTCTCTTCCTTTCCCTTGCTTCATAAAAGGGTATAGGAAAAATATAGCAGATGCCATTCATATACATCACAGTAGGACAAAGTTGGATAATTTAGACATTTGTTGTCTAAATTATTTGTTGCTTATCATTTTTTAAACATCCCATTGTTTACACATGGAACCTTTCATGGCAAAGAGTAGCCAAAGAGACAAAAGATTTTTTTTAAATGTCAGTTGGGATGCTGGACCATTGTCACACCTGATGTTTTTGTGGATGTGAACTCTCAAACACACAAATAACTTATTGTTTACAGAGAGCGGGTATTAGTTTTGATAATCAAAATTAGTTTTGATTATCTGTCTGCTCAGGTTTTGTGGGGAGGGGAAGAAAAAACATAAACTTGGTGTGTTTGGTCCTTTGCATTGTGAAGCTACCTTTGAACTCTTACCACTCCTAAATGTTCCTTACCATACACACAAGGGCTACCTTCTTTCTGAGGATCAACTAAATTCTGCTTGAATTTTTACAACATCATATAGTTCTTTAAATCTTTGCTAATCTTTTTTTCTCCAAGTATTGTATAGTGTTTTCAAATTCTGAAAATTCATAAATGGAGTTTCCTTCTTAAAGCAATTTCTATGTGTTTTTCCCATCACCCAAATGAAGGAGGGCTAATTCAGTATAGGCAACAAATAAGCTTTTAATATTTTTCTCCAGCTTTTAAAAATAGTCAAATTGGCTTCTAAAAAAAAAAAGTTTTGAAGAAGCCATTTCTATCTTTAAAAAACATTGTGTCACAGAAAAGATAAATTATATGTGTGACCTTCCCTCCCTACCCTTTTATTGTTCCAAATTGACTTCTGTGGTTTTTGACAAAAACAAAACAAAAAATAGCAATGTCCTAGAACACTAAATCATTTAGTGCACTTGTCTTAATTGTTATCAAATTTTGAACTTCTGTAATACTCTCTTTTGCAATAAAAACGTTGGTTTAGACATTTGGGCAACAATAGCTGTTTAGATGTTTGTGGACTTAACCCATATACTAATCTATAAGTCTAGGAATTTTACTAAAAAAAAAAACAGTCCAAAAAGTGGGCCAATTTATCCTTAACATGTATATTAAAAAACCCCATATCCTGAGCAAAGTGGCAAAAGGCATATGAGCATATTTGCCGAAATGTTCTTCAGCATCACTTATGTCCATACATTCTGGCCAAAACAAAGGAGTTTCAGACTGTTTTTTCTAACATGGAAAAGTTGCTATGGAGACAAGATTTAGGAGGTAAATTGGATCTTATGGTAGACTTTGTAACAACAAGATCATTGCCATTGTCAAATGCTTCTGCTTCATGTGCTCTTTGTGCCTGTTTATTATTTAACTGTAGACATAAGTGTTTAACCTAGTATTTTGCTAAAATAGGAACTCTAAATAGTACTATTTATTTTACAAGCGAACATCCTTTGCATTGCACTATGGGTGTCCTGAATCTCTAATAGTACATTTCCCAACCTTACCTTCTACAGTACTATAGATGACTATTAAAATATTCAGCACCATGTATCCTTTGTAGTAAACCCCACTGAACTCAGTGAGGATTACTTCCAGTTAAGTGTACACAGCAGTAGATTGTAAAAAGAATAGATACCTAATATTTAGAAATCTTCCTGAGTAATGACTGGAGGCATGAAAATAATTTCCTGTTTCTTTCTGTTTTCAACTAACTGATCAGTGGTCGATGAAGACGGTAAGGCCTATGTTCTAATCTTTGCGCTTTATTAACAACAGCATGAAAATAGCTTTCCCATTTCATAGTTGCTTTGAGTAGTTTTGGTATTTGGATCACTTATTTGGAACACTGTGTATACTTCTCTTTGTCACATAATCCATTCGTGCTTGGTGTGAACATAGTAAGAGTCCTAATATCTTACTTTTAAGTAAGAATGACAATAAGTTTATTCGATGTCTCCGTAAAATGAGAGGAATACTGCCTCTGTCAACTCTTCTGTTTTACCTATGAAGTGTACAGTAACCAAGTCAGCAAAACAGTCACTCTTGTACTGAAACGTCGCTAGAGTTTCCAAATGATCTGTTTTGTTAATTTTTCATAGTAGTAGTCATTGGTTAACTCGTATGAAATATCCCACAATTGGTCTGTTTCCCTTATCATTGATTTATATCTTACCTTTCTCCAAGAATTGGGTGTTAAGGTCGTTCACAATGTTAATTTTTGAAAAATACAAATGCATTGTTAGTCTTCCACATGGCAAAGAAAACCTGAATCAGGAAGAGTCTTTCCTTTACAGTGGTTCTTAACCTGTAGGTCACCAGATATTTTGGCCTTCAACTCCCAGAAATCCTAACAGCCGGTATACTGGCTGGGTTTTCTGGGGGTTGTAGGCCAAAACGCCTGGGGACCCACAGGTTGAGAACAAGAGTTGAGTAAAGGGCAGCCCATGGGACATACAAGCTCCCCGAACCATTTTAGTGGTACTTCTCCAGTGCCAGACAGGCAAGAAATGTGGGGACATTGATTTTGCTGCTTCATGAGGCAAACTGGGGGTGGGTGTCTGAATAAAGATGGAAAGAATATTTATAAAAAGTTGAAAAATATATTTTTCAAGTATTGAGAAACTCACAAGAACATCCCTGACTTCATTTTGGAGATACTATTTTAAGTAAGATTCTTACATTAGTATTATTGGGTGTGTTATAGCAAAATTATGTAATGGCACTGAAATACCCAGTTAAAAGGCTTAATGCCTAGTAATTTCACTGAAATTCAGGCATGTCTACATTTATTAGTATATCTGGGGCTAGTCCAAAGCCGAATGTAGCCACATACACTTTCCCGAATCGACCATATATGTATGTTGGATGTGAGCTATGTTTCATGTTTCATTTTAAAATAAAAGGAAATAATACGATAGCAAGGTGGGTTTTTTTTGTTTGTTTTTTGTTTTTGCATCTCTTGAATAATGTACATTCAAACATTCCAGTCAGGTCTCAGTTGTRATGAATTAAATAACTGAATATAACACTATACAAAATAATTTCTTAGTCCATCCCCCCCCCCCCCAAACCAAGATTGATATAATTATATTCTATCTCTAGTTTAACCAACTGAACAATTTTATGTTTAGGGAATGCTTGAGGCATCTCTACTGGTCTGAAAAYATAAAGACAATTAGTCTGAGATTCTGGAGGATGAACTCAATAGGCCTTCTAGTTTTATAGTCATTTGGAACAGCTTTCCTAAACAGATGGCAAACCATAAACACACAGACTTTGGAATTCCTGTTTAACTTGTAATTACTGGTGGGTGCTATAGTTAACTTATTAAATTGTTAATCACATGTGCCTAAGTAGGTGGATCTGTGAATCTTTTCATTGTAACAGTCTGTTTATAGCTCCAAACCTGCTAATTATGATCCCAAACGAACAACAAATGAATGAAGTAGAAGCTGCCTGCTAGTATTCACTTCAGTAGAAACTACGCCAGGAGCTTTTGGATAGACAAAGTAAATTGTGTCTATAAATATGTCTTTTAAATTTGTATAAGCTAAAGAAATAGAAATAAAACGTAGAAGATTGGTTTCTAGTTAATATTAACAGTAATTTATAGATTTATATATATAGGGCCATGGTGGTGCAGTGGGTTAAACCGCTAAGCTGCTGAACTTGCTGATTGGAAGGTCGGCAGTTTGAATCCATGGCCGGGGTGAGCTCCCGTTGTTATCCCCAACCTCTGCCAACCTAGCAGTTCAAAAACATGCAAATGTGAGTAGATCATGGCAGGAATGTTACAGCACTCCATGCAGTCATGCCGGCCACATGACCTAGGAGATGTCTACGGACAATGGCAGCTCTTCAGCTTAGAAATGGAGATGAGCACCACCCTCCAGAGTTGGACACAGCTAGACCTAATGTCAAGGGGATACATTTACCTTTACTTTTTATAGATTTATATCCAACAGAATGATAAGGCATTTAACTATCTTTATTTCCTATTTTTTAATGTGTTCTGCGGCTAAAGGAATTAAGAAATCTTTTGCAGTGTAGTTGCTTACAAGAGGTTGCAAACCACCAGAGATGGTCTCTATTTCACAACATTGACCTGTTGCTTGCAACTAAGCCATTAGGGACGATGGACACGCAAAGCTAGTGATTGTGTCCCATCTCAAAATTTACCTCTGTGCGATAGTCCAGAGCCGCCGCCCCCCCCCCCCAGCTTCTGTTGTTGCAACTGCTCCTCTACTTGAGGAAAAAAGTATATTTCTTCTACAGCAAGCACTTTGTGATTGTGAAGTTCCTTAAAAACAAAAAGAAAAGAAATACCAGGGGGTGGAAGAGTAGAGTTACACCTCCCATCCAGAAGGACAACTTCACTTTGCTGAAGTGTCACAATTGTTTGGTGCCAGTGGCTGTGCGGTGTCACCTCTTATCAAAACTGGAATTAGGTGCTAACCCGCATTGCATGAATGCCTCAGAATAACAGCTCATGTGTGATCATATCTAAGGTAAGTTGGTGATATGACTGAAGATAGTTTGGGTAAAAGAAATCAGTGTTATCTACCAAAAGATTCAATTTCAACCTCAAACTGTTAATTTCTATTTTCTTTATATAACAAAAGATTTTATGATGAAATTGATTTGACATAATGGAGACAATTTAGCATTATGAATACTGCAAATTAGAGTGCAGAGCAGCAAATATGTCCTTGCAATGAAATTGAATGTCTGTTGTTTATGACTCTTTCATATTTGGGAATGGAACAAGAAATGGTGTGTGTGTGAATGTAATATGTGGAAATTTCACTGTAAAGGTGCCTACAAATTTTGTTTTGGCTTATTAAGCTGCTGTATATCGTGATAGCCACTGACTGCTTTCCTTTGCATGAGAACCATGGTGTATGATTTTGTAATATCAGCCTGCGCCTCAGGGCAGGGTGCTTGTTGTAAAACTCAGTATGATGAGAACTCTCCTTCCTGAGTCAAATGGGAGAGGTCTCTCATATTTCATTGAGCTTTGATCCCTGCAGTGCTGCTTTTGCTTGCTTCAAAGCTTCTTGAGAAATCCTTCAGAAGAGATGATTTTTCATGTTATGCTGAACATGGGCCGTCACCCACAGAAAACTGTTGAGTGGCACAAATGCAGAGCCTTAACACATCTACAGTGTATATTTTACTTCCTGTTTTTAAATTCAGTTGGCTTTTAATGCCCACAGGGGTTGCCTCCAGAACCCCTAGCAGATATGAAAATGCTCATGTGATTGAGTCCCATATATGGCAGCAACGCAAACACGTTTTCCAAGCATATCCCTTGTTTGACGAAGCTTGTTATTTAATACCCAGCCAAATGCTGATGTATAGATAAGGTTAAACAGACACTCTATTTATAGAGTTCTTATGGAGGTGTATCCTTTAGCCTAGACCTGTTTTAACGTCTGTGCAGACTGTGCCACCAAGGACAGCGTATTTAATCTTGGCTGTTTGTGTTCTTAGAATAAATCTTAGTATAAAAGCCACTGCTTGCTCTCCTGTTAATTTTCTGATAGACAGATCTTAACAATGCTAAATGAAATACTGATGTCGATCTTGAGTACTGGATAAAACTGTGGTTTATGATCTTTGGCGCTTAAGTGGCCAAAAGATCAATTTCTAGATAATCTAAACAGATTCTGACCAACAAGTGTAAAGCAAAGAACCTACCATCTTCTACAAAATATAGGAGTTGAGGAACCAAGTCTGTGTCCGAATTTGAACTTCTGATGTGGAATATTGGGCTGATGTAGCTGTAAATTAATTTGAAATAAATTGTTTCAAGTTCCAATAATAAAATGGATAACAATGAACAAGGGATAATGAACAAACTGAAGATTAATCCAGAAAAGAGAGAGATATTGCGGGTCAGTCGAAACACAGATCAAATTTGGATTGCATGGGGTTATACTCTCGTTAAAATTCATTTTTGCAGCTAGGATATGTTTTTGGACTTGGCCCTGAACTTGCTCACATTTTAGTGGAAACCAAGGATGAATTTGCACAGTTAAACAATTTCCTGGAGATGTCTGAGTTTGCCATAGTGATGCATGCCTTGATTTTTTCTTGTTTGGATTGCCATTGTGCATTCTATGTGGGGCTGCCTTTGGGAAAGGTTTGGAAACTTTTGTTTTGGAAACTCTCAATATGTTGTGTCCTGGCTGCTGACCAGAGCTGATTACAGGGGGAATAGAAACCTTTTGCTATGACAGCATCACTGTCTACTGATCTGTTTCCAGGTACATTTCAAAATATTGGTTTTTGAAATCTCAGTTCCACCATCCTTCCAGGCATGTTGGGTGAGAAAGGACTTTTTTAGTAGCTGGTCCCCAACTATGAGATTGGTTTCCACGGGCGGCTAGACTACTCCCACTCTGCTCTTTTTCTACCAAGCAATAAAGGCCTCCTTCCTTTGTTACCCTTTTCACGACTAACTGACTGGTGTGGAGGGATTGCATTGGGAAGTGTTGTGCTTCTTTTTCCTTCTTTGTTGTGCTTTCAAACTGAGCACTTTGTTTTACTACAATAACTAATTTAATTGTTTTTTAAAAAACTTGTAATATCATAATTTACTGGTTGTTGATGCATTTTATTTTATGTTGTAAGCTGCTTTGGTCTCTGCACTAGGAAAAAGGCAGAATACTTACACACATACTTATGAGGCTTGCATAGATAAAGCTGCCTAGCTACAACATGGAGAATCATTCTCAATAATTCTTGTTCCTTGCATGGTGCCAAAAAAAAATCATTTTCCCAACATCATTATTAGGTAGTTTCTCAGCAAAAATGGAAACTATGATTAAGTCTAGTTAATATAAATATTGTGACACATTCTTTTGTAATTTAAGAACTTGTTAGCAGAAGTTTTCTTGAATGCTTAAGGTCAATAGGCAGTTCCCAAGTTACAAATATCAAATTTACAAATAACTCATAATTAAAATTGGGGGTGAGACAACAGAAAGTGAGAGAAATCTGCCCCTAAATTAACTCCTGAAAGAGCTATCATGGGTAAAAGGTGTCTCAACTGAAGTTGTATCACCAATCCTTGGTTCCATAAAAAGCATTTTTTTTTCAAAATCCAATTCTCATAGGGACAGAAATAGAAGTGAAATCTTCTGGGGGGGGGGGGAGGGGGACAGATAGCAAAACCAACACCACATGGGTGTTAACCCATGCCTATGCTATCCAAAGTTTGTGTGTGTGTGCATGTAGTTGCACTTTAAAATGTACCTATTCCAACTTGTATACAAATTAATCTTAAGAACAAACCTACAGAACTTATCTTGTACTTAACTTGGGGACTGCCTGTACTCATTTTGAACTTCTGAGTTAAGGAGTGCCTAGCTAATTTGACTATAATTGCATAAGCACTATGAAGGGAGTTGGGGGACCTTTCGTTCGTTCGTTCGTTTGTTCTTTCTTTCTTGTCTGGAAAGGGGCTACACATCTATGAAGTTGGGTTCCAAGTTATTTACTTTAGCAAAGAGCCAGCATTCTGTCTCTATCAGGCCAAGGCCTGTATTCAAATGTTTTAAATAATCAATTCTACTTCCAGAAACCATTTCTCCCAAAGAATGTGTAAAACCTGAATGCATATCTGGGTAATCTAGTCCAGTATCTTGCTCTGAAACAGGAATTCTTCATACTTAACATTAAGATCCTTTTAATATGATTTACTTAAACTCTTTAGATTTAAGCTAATTAATACTTTTTCTGTTCTCAGTACCAGGGGAAAACATTGTGGTCGCTTTTAATAGCATTTTTAGCATTTCTTTCTTCCCTTCAAAGCCTTGAACTTTTCTGTTGGTTGTTCACTTTCTCATTGGGATCAAATTAGCTGTTTTGCTTCAACCCATAGATCACATTCTGTTTCCCTTCAGTTCGAAAGCACTCTCTGTGCCGTTTTATCTGAAGCATCCTGCAATACAACATTGTAGCCCACTGCATTCCTTTTGGATGCTCTGAAGCCATATTTGCTTTGCATTCTAACATTGATTATTTTTGTATTATTCCCTATTTCTTTGGTTTGCACACATGCTTGCTAATATGGTGTATTCAAACCAGGGTATGTAGGAATTAGTATTGTATGAGAGACAATGAGAATTATCTGGTATGAATCTTACAATCTTTGTATAATGCCAGTCAAAATACCCTAAAACTAACAAGTCCCATAGCACTTTTGAAGGCGAACAAATACCATATTTACTCAAATCTAAGGTTCACCTTTTTGGACTAAATTATATAGCCAAAAGTGAGATGTGCATTAGATTTAGCGGTGCATTGGAATTGATGAATTTGCCAGCCTCACCTGATGAGGCCTTTAAGACCTCCCCCTTGAGGAGTGAAGTCTTAGTTGGGAAGCCTTAGTCTGAGTTTATCATCCTTGGCCTGATGGATTGTCAGTCTTTCCAAAGCGAGCAGCGAATGGCTGATAAGCAAGGGAAAGCCGTACATTACAATCAACAACAATTCTTTTCTCTTTTTTTTTGCCATGTGCATCCTCAAAATTGAGGTGCGTATTCAATCGATGATACATTTTACTCGAGTAAATATTGTGACACATGCTTTTGTAATTTAAGAACTGACTTGTTAGCAGAAGTTTTATTGAATGCATTTTATTGAATGAGTTAATATGACTACAATTTCTACAGTTCATCCTGAATACATGTCTCACTAAACCCATATATGTTTAGTGTGACATATATAAGGCTTAGGCTCATTGGTCTCCTTTTCTTCTCTGAGGATTCTGGAAACTTTGGCTTTCTTGATTACGTGCGGTTGACTGTGTTGTCTGGACCTAGCATTGTTGTCAACAATGAAAGCTTTTCACCAAGTTGGCTTCAGAAATCTCAGTTTGAAATTGGCTTGATAGGACCATAGTTTACGTTAATGGACCAAAGAACATAACACATTGAGGTTAACTAGTAATGAAAATCTTCATTTGAATGGGAGGAAAAGATAGGAAGGAGAAAGCACATGAGCCATGGATCTAATATATCTCATGTTAAGACGGGGTGCTAAAAGTACTTGTAGACAATTTCACAGGGTCCAGGAGCAGTTGTATCTCGTCCCAACTCCTTTGAGATTGCCCCCAGTAGAAATAAACAATTGTAGTTTGTTAAAACATGATTTAAAACATTGCAGACAAGGAGTACGTATATTGCTCTAAAAATACCATTCTCCTTTAAAACAAGGGTCATGCTCCCTGTGTTCTGTGTTTTCTGCTGAAAGTGTTGGGCCTGTACTGGTGCCTCCCTGCCAAATGTGAACTGTGGAAATAACAAAAATGAATGAATGCAAAATAGGGCAAGTAAGAAGCTATGGGGATCACAATACAATATGAGATAATACATTTTTTCTGGGATTATGATTTCCAGCCTTGTTGTGTATATTTGGAGGGCAGTGGAAATCCTGTTGCTTCATTCAGTTAAGAAAATGCTGTTAGTTGTGTGAGAACTCACCCTAGAAATATTCCCATCTATAACTTCAGTTTCTGAGGGTTGTGTTTCACTTGATTCCAGGGTCCTGCACAAGAAGATTTCAGCCACTTGCCACCAGAACAAAGACGGAAAAAACTACAGCAGCGGATTGATGAACTTAATCGAGAACTACAGAAAGAGACAGATCAAAAGTATTGTTGCTTTTCTGTTTTTGTCATTTGCCTTTGCTCTTACCTTTCACTTTTTATTCATCACTGATGAATCTTCACATACTTTTAAAAAGTTTTAGTAGTGTTAGCGAGCATCTTCTTAGTCCAGTAGAGTCTCGCTTATCCAACCTTCACTCATCCAACGTTCTGTATTACCCAATGCAGTCTGCCTCCTGCCCGAATCCACAGCTGTTTCAATACATTGCAATATTTTGGTGCTAAATTTGTAAATACAGTAATTACTGCATAACGTTACCATGCCTTTTCTGTCTTTTTTTTGTAAAACATGATGTTTTGGTGCTTAATTTGTAAATCCACAACGTAATTTGACATTTAATAGGTGTTTCCTTAATCCTTCCTTATTATCTAACATTTTCGCTTATCCAACATTCTGCTGACCCTTTTATGTTGGATAAGCGAGACTCTACTGTAGTTATTTAGTGACCTGGGGAGGGCAGGGATTTAGGCAAAGAGCATTTGACTACAGTGCTTCAGCCAGACACACAATACACAAGATCCTCAGGAAGTTCTGTAAGGATACCTTTCTCATCTTGTGCCTCATGCAGTCCTCGATTGCCTCCATCACCTCTGGATCCCTATATGGTTCTGTTGTAGACACATGCAAGGGGAGGGTGAGTCCTCTATTAGAGGAGAATGAGACAGACCGGAGTCTTGTCTGGTGAAATTTTACTATAATGGCAAATCTCAGTCATTGATAAAACTGTTGTGACAGAAACATTTTGTGTTTCTTCACTCCACCACCATTCTCTCGAAGATGAATTACTAGTGGGATTGAAGGCTCTCTTTGGTTTCTTTTGGGGTTTTTTTCTTGCAGCAGTTAACTGACACTAGTGTATCAAATAATTCATGATTCATTTCTCCTGTAGAGATGCTCTGATCAAAATGAAGGATGTGTATGAAAAAAATCCACAGATGGGTGATCCAAGCAGCCTGCAACCAAAATTGACTGAGACTATGGGCAACATGGATCGTCTCCGAATGGAAATTCACAAGAATGAGGTTAAAATATTCATTGTATAGTGTTCCATTGAGAAGGGCAGTAAAGCTTTCAGAGCAAGGCATGCTCCCAAACTCCAAAAGGTTATTTTCAGTAGTGGGAATCCTGTGGTCAGGTGTTTCAAAACTGCAGCTTCCCAGCATTCCTCAGTATTTGGCTCTGTTGGCCAGGGCTTCTAGGAGTTGCAGTCCAACATCTGGAGCAGCAATTCAGCAGCATGATGATTCTAGCTGTTAAAAGTAGCAGGGCAGTCAGGTTGTCCACCACAGCTCATCCCTTTAGCAACATTCCCAACTTTTTAGCCTGTTTGTCTTATAATTCAGTCTATTTTTTAAGGAGGAGTTTAAGAAAATCATATGGTTAGCTTTGCCTGTAGGATGCTGAAGATGGTGAGTGAAGCCAGGTGTGTGAGTAGCTATTTCTTACAAAACAACTTGAAGAATATTGAAAGAATATTTTAAAATGTTTTGATGGGCTCAATTTTATAATGTATTGATTGTAAAAAAATAACCCAAATGATAACGGCTTTATTTCTGGAAATATATTATTTGTTTGTTTGTTTGTTTCATGCTCTTCTATCCCGCCCTTCTCCCCACAAGGGGGACTCAGGGTGGCCTCACATAGGTATCAGGGATGCTTACAACATATACATCATACAGTTAAAACAGTAAAAACATTTTAAATATTGGATTGTCACTATTAGTAAAATTAACTGAGAGACTTTTAGGACAGGCAGGTGAACAAGGTGAGATAAACTGAAAAGCTCTTTACTGACTGGGTCAGTGAATTTGATAAAAAAATATATCCCCAGATAATAATTTCAATGTGCCATGGTTAAAAATAATCAAGATATGTGTTAGAGTTCAGGACCTCCAAATTCCTCTGATTGTCTAGTGTGGGGTTGGGTAGGCTTTATCCTTATAGAATCTATTGTATTTTTACTAGTTTCCTAACAATTGTAGATGGAGGCAAAATAAATCATGTAGAATTGAAGTATTATGAACCGAATGTTTAGAGTAGCAGAACCAGACTGATCTTGTTGAAAACATTCACTCTGTGTTACCACTAGAAGAGTGATGGGCAACCTTTTGAGCTTGGTGTGTCAACATTTGCCAAAAACCTGAGCATAACTTGGGTGGAGTGTTACTTCAAGGAAAAAAAACCACATAATTTTGCAATATTTATAGTTTAAATAAGAAAAATGTATAATCCATGCTGAGTTATGGAGTGAACAATGCTCAAACGTGCAGATGTTAAATTGGTAGAGCCTTTTACAAATTTAAGGATGGAATCGGATTGGCTCTTATAAGGTGTATTTCTCTGTATGTGGCCACATGTGTCTGTGTGTCATCAAAAATAGCCATGCGTGTCAATGCTGACACGAGTGTCATAGGTTCACCATCATGGCACTAGAAGCTCTTTAAATTGTAGCTGTAAAATGGGGGACATATCCTTTGGCGTCATTTTGCTCTTATTTTGTTATGGTATTAAAGAGTTGAATCAGAAATGTTTCCTGACCTATCTTAAGATAGCTACATTTAGAATTGGTTTTAAAGAAATCTCTTTACTTTTGTATTGTGCAAAGTGACAACTTCTCTCTTTATCTCCTTTCTTCCTCAAGGCCTGGATTTCTGAAGTTGAAGGTAAAGTGGCAGCAAGAGGCGACCGAAGACACAGTAGCGACATCAACCATCTTGTAACCCAAGGAAGAGAGAGGTGATTATATCAAATCTTTTTACTTCACTTTGAGTATCACTTATCTAGAATCCGGAAACTGAAAATACTCCAAACTCATCCACAAAGGTGACTGAAGATGGTGACACCCTTGCTTTTTGATGGTTTGGTGTATTAAAATATGTTTAATTATTATATAGGTTTTTAAAAAAAATTATTACATTTTTTTTATTTATGAGCGAAATTTTCTTTCATGTTCTTGAGTTATACCTAACATGTTCATTGTGATTTACTTTTCTTTATGCATCATGATTTGTTCCTTTGATTAGCTGCATTGATTTAATTTTCTGGATTTGTTGTACGATTACTACTATTTTATTGTTCTTTCTTGTTGTAAGCCGCCATGGGTTCCCTTAGGGAGTGGGATATTATTATTATTATTATTATTATTATTATTATTATTGTATTGTGAATTCAGTTACCTTCCAGCTATGTATATAATATCAGTGAATTTTATGTTTAGACTTGGATCTAAATAATAATTAAAAATCCACCTTGTTTTCCAAGAATCTCTGTTACATTTGGCTTCCTGCCTTATTCTTCCCCCTGGCTATGTTGGCTATTCTTCCCCCTGGCTATGTTGTAGAATTTACCTAACAATGAGATTGCCATTGTTGTTGAAATTACTTCATTATAGAAAAACATTGTAGCTGTTACTCAGTTCTTGTGGGTTTTTTCGGGCTATATGGCCATGTTCTAGAGGCATTTCTCCTGATGTTTCGCCTGCATCTATGGCAAGCATTCTCAGAGGTGAGGTGATTGTAGCTGTTAGAGCTGAAAGTAACGTGTTATAGTATAGGAAAGTAAGGAAGTCTTCAGATGTTGTATGCATACCTGTCTTTTATGTACCAACAAAATAGAAGAATGACCTGCTCCCCCCCCCCCTTTATCTTCCTCTTCATTTTAAGATTTTCGGGAAAATTCCTGCACCAAAGCTTCATACCACAGGGAAATACCTTCTTAAGAGTTTACGAGAAGGACTTTTTTCATTAAGTGAATCCAGTTTTGTTGAACTCTTTCATTCCAGAAAGAAAGAAGTTATTTGACACTCCTAATATCTGGTGGAGAGTTGTGTTATTCTGTGGCACCAAAAGCAATTTTAAAAGTTCTTTAGCGCCTAAAAAGATAGCAAGTTGTGTTTTGCCTCAGGACTTGTGGACCTTAGATACACTTGGGCAGATGTGTAGAATGGAGCTTTAGTTAGCAATTAGATTCTTTCAGTGTTTAGCATTATTCATTGGAATTACGATGAGCGTCATCAGTGGAAGGAAGATGCTAAATAGTTTGTATTCTTCACACACAAAAAATAAAAAATAGAAGAATGCCCAGGTTCTTTCTACTCATATTTCCTCAGTATTTTACCCCAAATGCTTTAAACTGGTTTCAGATTCTTCTAGGGCAGAGCTTCTTTAAATCTTCTACTCACAACCACTTTCTGCTTGAGAAGTTTTTACAAGAACCCAAGTATATAAGTGTATAAAATAGGTATAAAAACCAAACATTTACTGATAACAAATTGACATTTACAAGGCTTGCTAAACAGGCTGATTTTCCTTTTTATGAAGTATAGCTGAAGCATCTTCTGCAGAGCCACTCTACAAGAGGTTTGTGTAAATGTCTAAAACAGCTACTAGATGACATTCAGAAAACTTTTACTGTTGTCAGATTTTTTGTGATGCTATCTTTGAGCTAAGGAGGCCCCATTCAAAACTCACAGTGTAAGAAGCAGTGTTCTAGGGTGAAAGTAGGGTGAGGTTACACCAGGAATGGACAAACTTTGGCCCCCCAGGTGTTTTGGACTTCAACTCCCAAAAATCCCAGCCAGCTGTTAGGAATTGTGGGAGCTGAAGTCCAAGATACCTGGAGGGCGAAGGTTTGCCCATGCCTGAGCTACTCTGTCCCTCGTCATTGGGAGCAGTACCTTTTTATACAGCTGTTGCATGTTCTAGGCAGCTGTTGCATGTTTTATGCATCTGCCTTGGCCAAAATCCCAGCAATCTTATTCATGAGCATGATGTATAAGAAGCATGCACCCAATTTCCCAGAAGAATCCCATTCCCAAGCAAACTGCTAGAAGTGTGGTTCTGATTGGAAACATGGTATGTTTTTGGGTTCCATGTTCCACAGCAGACTTGTTTGAATGGTGGCAACAGGAATACAACCTGTGGTGAAGATGAGCGGGGTGGTGGTGGTGGTGGTGCAAAAATTAGCACAGGGTGAGGAGCATGCAGTTTGAAAGCTGCATGTTGCCCCCTTCTTCTCTCAGCTCAAGGCAGTCCACATTTTGCCTCCACAGGAGGCCAGCCTTTGCTGGGTTGTCTAACACTTAAGTCTCGTGTAAGCACATATTCGAGTTTGCCAAGCATAGCTTGTTTTAGAAAGGTGCAGTGTCTGATACTCCGCAACTTTTTAAAAAGCAAAATGCATGGGACTCTTGATTTGGGAAGTGTAAATCCCTTCTGTGTTAACTGTGTCATTATAGCCCTGAGGGAAGCTACACAGATGATGCCAATCAAGAAGTCCGAAGCCCACCGCAGCAGCATGGCCCTCACAATGAATTTGATGATGAGTTTGAAGATGATGACCCTTTGCCAGCTATAGGACACTGCAAAGCGATCTATCCCTTTGATGGTAAGGCAGGCTCTGGTCTAGGTGTGTGGTATTTGTAAGGCACGACAACTGCTTTCTATCTTGCCTAAATGCAATTATCTGCATGTAAACTGTTTCCAGTTCTGGGAACTCATGCCACAAATAATCTTTGTTTAATGACAGAATGCTACTTCTGCATTGTGACCAAACAAATACACCCATTGGCATGCATTCAGCTTTACAGCGAGAGACCAGATTTTTGTCTCCTGGCCTACATTTGGAACATATGTTCCCTCGCAGACAGTTGATGTTTTCCCCTGTGTATGGAAACTGATGCTGTGTCAGAAAGCTTGCTTTGAGTTCTGTGAGAGATGTGTGATTTGTTTCCTCCTGCCCCACTAGGTCACAATGAAGGTACCCTCGCAATGAAAGAAGGCGAAATTCTGTACATTATTGAGGAAGATAAAGGTGATGGATGGACAAGAGCTCGGAGGCAAAATGGTGATGAAGGATATGTGCCAACCTCCTACATAGATGTAACACTAGAGAAGAACAGTAAAGGTGCAGTAACCTATATCTAACCTTCAGTCCATCTGCTTACCAGTGAACAATCCTTAATGAATACTGAAGTGCGCTCACAGTTGGATGAGAAGTGTAAAGCGCGTTAAAGAGAGCTTTCAGTCTGTTGTTCACTATGTGAGCACAACCCGAGACGTCAATCCTGAAACTGGAAGAACGTCTGTGTTTCGCATCATTTCTTCTACACCTTTTGGGCAGTGCCATGTCTGACTGATTTCTCTGTCTTTATCTGCTTATGGGGATTTTAAGTGTTTTCTTCCAATCGCTGACCAGGCTACCACGTTTTCTTGGTTTCCTTAAATTTAAATTTTGTAAAGTTTTCTATTCATTTGAAGATTTTAAATGGATGTTAATTTTTTTTAGAATGCATTGTTTGTTACGTTAGTATATAGAGTCTCTAGGCAAGTCCTCACCTCCTGTTCCAGTGTCTACTAAACTCAATGTATATTAAACTGAACAAGCCAATCAACTCTTACTTTGATTTTTCTGAAAGGCAGCCTTCCTTTTTTCATTCCTTTGCCTGCTGCTGCATCACACGTCTTCCACGACAGCAGCACATTATCCAGAACTGTGAACTTTAGTTTAGAAGACAAAGGAGAACTTCCTTCTGCAAGTTGTTTCAAAAATCCATTTTCTGCAGACAGTGGGAGGGGCGGGATGGGGGTTGCAGCTAATACTGACAAGCATCTTTGCTCTATAAATATTTGTACAGGATTGATTTAGAAAATTATATCTGTACTTGCAGAAATGATAAAATGCAGTAGGTCATTGGAAAAAGTAATCCCAAGAAATTCAGGACATGATTTTGGCCTCTTTTGTTAGAAATTATGGCTTTTTATGTGTATTCACAGTAGTATTTTTCTGCTTGGATCTGTTACTAAGGTTGTTCAGTTCCTAAAAAGTAACTGATGAACCTGTCCATTAATATGCTTCTGCCTGGTGTGCATACATTTCTGCCACCCCAAAGCCATGTGCACACAAGTCTTTAAATTTGTGCAGAAGTCTCCGTTCTTTCTGATAGAAAGAACCAGTGTGCATGTGCAAAACATGTGTGGATCTAGATCAGGTCACTTTTGTTAAAAAGAGTGGGATTCCATTGGAATCTACTGTGCACCCTGAAGCCTCTGTGCCTGAAAAACAGGTCATTGGGTCACATGCCTTTTAAGTCTGAGGGATGATGGTGACTGTAAGCAGGATGCTCTACGTGTGGTTTGTTTTGGCTAGAATTTACATCTTTGGGAGGATGAGCTTGGAAGCTAAGTCAGACGAATTCACCACTAAATGAACTGCTGCCTGAAAAGTAGGATGTACAGAAAGGTTAAAAAGACTCTGTATGTGCCATCACTTGTGCATACAGGGATTTCTTCTCTGGCTTTTTGAGATGGACTCTTTTTTTATGAGTGCACTTTTTTCCTTTTCAAAGACCTCCGGTAATTTTGTTCTTCTCTGTTTTTTCCTCTTGGACTGCAGGTTCCTGAAGCGGGTTTCTGAGAAAATGGGCGAGATGTTGAAGGAGGTTACATGCAGCTGCATTTGGGGGGAGGGTGCTAGGCCCAGCAAGATTATTGGGGCGGGGGGTGGGAGCCAGTTGCATGAAGGCATGCAGGCATACATTTCTCACTAACCAGGCTGGTGTTTCTGTGTGTGTCCAAAATAGTTGTGGTGAACTAAAACTCCATTCCAACAGAACCCAACTGCCACCCGGCCTGAAAAGACTTGCTTTTCATGGTCTCAAAAAACCGACTCACTCTTCACCAGTTGCATTGTACCATGGCTGTTTTCAGCGGTCTCATTTTCCATGCCCAGTTTAAACTGGCCTTCAGTCCAAACCATGCCGTTGACCGTCTCTGCCTGTGCCACCTCCATGCTCGCCCTAACCTTCTCTTGCATGTCTAGATACGTGTCGGGCATGCTCACCTAATGTTTTGTATTTTCCATAGTTCTTCCTCCTCTTCTGCATTTGTAGCCCATCCACTTTATGTATGTCTCCAGCACTAAAGGTGTTTTATTTCTGTACCCATTTATGCTGCTATAATGTGGTGTTTTCCTCCCTTCATTGTGACCACCGTTGCATTCCAATTCTTTGGCATTATAACTTATTTGAACTTAATGTTCATCTTGATTTGGGGTAACAAGCACATCTCAGCACTAGGCAACCGCGGCCCATCTCCAGCACCTCAGTAGTTTCTCACAAGCACTGAAAACCTAGGATAAGAGCACAGATTTTTCCACTGCAAGACAACAACTGTTCTCAGACGTCAAGTGCTTACCATTCAGATGCTGCCTTAAACTCTTGAGTGCCTAAATCTGTTGATTGCCAACACGACCACGTCAGTATCCCACAAAGGGCTTTTGCTCCGTATGACCTCCTGAATCTATCTTTCTACAGTGCTGCAGCTGCTGGTAGCCAATGGTAGATGTCTTCCTAGAGCTCTACCGTAACATGATACATGGTGCATTGTAAACTTTATGTATTGAACATGTATCAGTTTCATTTTATGTCTAATGAATGTGTTTTTAATAGGATTTTTATGGAACATTTTTCTCTTTCTCTCTTGATTGTCCCTTAATTTTTTGAGTTGTGGGGGGGGGGGGGGGTGGGGAAGGACTCCAGTTTCTGATTAACTGCAGTGCTTGTCTGTTTCCAAGTGATGCTTCATTGTAAGGACCAGGTGAAAATTGGAGTGATACTTCGTAATGATCTATGTGCACTTTTACTTGTAAACTTTGAGATTTGGGAATGTTTATACATGTAAATATAGTTGTCTGCAGCACCCCCCCCCCCTCATGTTGCTCATGTTGTTTTGTCTGCCATTTGTGAATTCTGTTAATGAAATCATCCAACCTGTAAACTAAATAGGATAAGCTTAGAATAGGGGAAGTAGTGGGGAGGGAGGAACCAGGTAAGACAAGTTTCCTTAGCCCAGCCTTTTGTATTTGTGGTAATATTTAAGAAATCTTTTCCTAGGGATGAGGGTCGAAGCAATATTTGGACACAGGAGTGCTGGATTCTTTTAGGATTCTTTTTTTTTCAGTGTTATTAGCAATTGTACTACCAGTAAAACTAAATCTGTGTGACTGTTGTGTGGAAGTTTTCTTCCTTCTATTATTAAATGTGCCACTATTACACAGATGACATAGTGTATTTACAAGGGTGGGGAGGGTAAACACTAAAGGTTTAGAATTTTTGGACATTGTAAACAGGGTTATTTATATATAATGTGACCGTAACTCGTTACTGACAAAACTACATGCAATGGATTCTTTTTAGAAGATCATTTTTAATTTTAATGATTGTTTTGAAGTTAAAAATAATGACAATACGTTCTCAATATTTCTTTCAGCCAAGAGCCTAACAACCTTGTGGGTTTCTCACAACATTTCTAGTAAAGGACTAACAGTTCTTTCATTCAACTGTTTTTTTTTAGGAGCAGGATATGGTTCCTCAGAAGATTTTTTCCTGTGGTATAATGCAACCTTTATGAGGGTTATTAAATAGGAGGGGGGGGGGGATCTTTGTACTTGCACAGTTAGCTAAAATCATTATTCTGAAATTTTGAATATGATTGTCTGAGTCTTACAACTTTCGAGTAATTTTTAATCTTTTGTGCACGTGCTGATTTTTAAATGTTTTAAAGGCTTTGTTAAAAAATAGTGGTTCTCCTGAGAATATTTTCCTGAAATTAAACAACCTTTTCATGGCCCTGATCATTTCCTTGTCTTCTGTTGTAGTCAGAGGAATTAGAAGGGGGTTTTTTTTGGGGGGGGGGGGGGGGGGGGGGGGGGGTAGGGAAGCATGAATACAGTTTTTTGTTTTGAAGACAGTGGTAATATTTTTCTCACAACTAGTGCAGACATATTTAATCCATGGTGCCAGCTTTAATCCCCAAAGTTAAATAGTTTGTTTACATTATTATTTTGAAGTTAGTTGTTTACTGCCTTTTTGCTTATAATTCAGTCCCACTTTGGTTTTCTTTGCATGGTGTGGGAGTTAAGAGAGTGAAACAAATTTAGAGGCTTAGAGCATTTAGTAGCAGTCATCTGACTCATTTCACAATGGTAGGTTTATAGATGGCATAACAAAAAGGCAGCATTGTTGTATCTGGTATGTAAAGGTGGGTGGAGAGAAGAATTGCCAGAAAGATACAACTGACTGGAAAAACTAGCATAAGGAAACAGCTTGAACTCTTTGTTGTATATTTTGTGCTGCATTGGAAACCACAAAGATACAGATCAGGCTTACGAATGTGTAACCTGAGTTAGGCATCCGTGGTGGATCTGTGTTCACAATTATGGCACTATCGCCACAGCTATAGCTACCTACCTGTTGTACTTTACCCAGCATCAGGCACACGGAGAACAGGATCTGTTGTGCTGATGATCAGAGTGCAGGCGAATGATATTTCCATCATTTTCCTACCAAGAGGGAAGTCTGTGATGATCAGAAGCATAGCCTCCATTGAACTCCCTCATTGCAGCCTTGTTGGCTGGCAGGAGCAGGGTGGAAATGTCAACCAGACTCAGTCATCACCAACACAACTGATCCTTTTGCTTTGCACAGCCAGTTGGCATTGAACTGAGAGACACTACTTAGTTACACAACTAAGGCAGTTAAGTAATTAACACATACAGAAATCCAGCCAGGACCTTCTAACAAGGAGGTTCTTTAATGCATTGCTTTCATTTCCATTTATAACAAGAGTCAGAGTCAGAATTTGATAACATTATTGTTTTGGACAACTCCCAGGATGCCCAAGTGGCATGGGAGTTGTGGTCCCTAATGTATCGGGAGCTAGCTCTAGATTTAATTCTCTTTCAGTGTTTATAGGCTTTAAGTTTTAATTGTATATTCCACGGTTTTTAGCACTGTTTGATGCTTTGAGTCTTGTTAAGAGAAAAAGTGGCATATAAATCAACATAGTAATAATATTTTGCATAATTCTTGTATATAAATCAGTATAAAATAATAATAATAATAATAATAATAATAATAATAATATCTTGTTCTGTTAATCTTGATTGCTGGAAGGGCTTAACTGCAAAAAGCTCTGAGATCATATCATTGTAAGTCATAACAAAATAGAGGTGGTGCTAAAATGTGTGCAACTTTTTAACTAGAATTAGTAGATTATGATCCCTATGTTAATTGAAAGGCCAGGATTTGTAACTGACTTTTTAAAAAATTGCTGGGTTTTAAGATGTGAACACATTTTTAAAGTCCTGCCATTGTTTTGCTTTTCTACCTGATTAAACTAGAAGTTTCCCATTTTCCAGCTGGCTGCTCAGATCAGACACTGTGGGCGGTAGGGCTGTGTTTGATTTAAGTGTCTTTTATTAGGTTTCCTTCTTTGGTGTGCCTTGGGATTCATGTCATGCTCACCACTTTGATTTCCAGCATGCAAGGAAGAAGATGGATGTGTTCTTTTCCCCTGGTTACTGATGGATTCTAGAATTCATTGTTAGATAATTGGACAGGAAGGCATAATGGGAAAGCACACAATTGACACTCTGTTTGAGAGGGGCTCGTCCATCTGTTTCACCCATTTCCTGTGGCAGGGAAACAGAGGTAGTCCTAGACCAAGGGTCCTCAAACTAAGGCCCGGGGGCCGGATACGGCCCTCCAAGGTCATTTACCCGGCCCTCATTCAGAGTCAACCTAAGTCTTAAATTACTTGAAAGCATACAACAACAACAATCCTATCTCATTAGCCAAAAGCAGGTCCACACTTCCCACTGAAATACTAATAAGTTTATATTTGTTTAAATTGTTCTTCATTTTAATTATTGTATTGTTTTAAAGTGTTTTTTACACTACAAATAAGATATGTGCAGTGTGCATAGTAATTCTTTTATGTTTTTTTTTCAAATTAAAATCCAGCCCTCCAACAGTTTGAGGGACTGTGACCTGGCCCCCTGTTTAAAAAGTTTGAGGACCCCTGTCCTAGATCTTTTGATATGAGTCAGTCAATGCAATTAATTTTTTTATCATGTCAGAAGTGACTTGAGAAACTGCAAGTCACTTCTGGTGTGAGACAATTGGCTGTCTGCAGAGATGTTGCCCAGGGGACGCTCGGATGTGTTATCATCTTGTGGGAGGTTTCTATCTTGTCCCCACATGGGAAGCTGGGTCTGACAGATGGACCTCACCCCGTGTCACGGATTTGAACAGCAGACCTTCAGGTCAGTAGTTAAGCTGGCACAAGGGTTTCACCCATTGCACCACCGCGGCTCCTGACAATCCAGATAATGCCATATCATTGTTTGGATTTAGCATATGCATTATGGAGGGGAATTGTGGAAGGAAGCATCTGGTACCTCTGCCTACATGCTACATACACCCAAGGAGACTTCTTGGTGCAACTCTATGGGGTATGATCAGGTGTTTTCCAGCTGCCTTTGAGCTCATGGGGAATGTGGATCATTCTTACAATGGAGGTCAAAGGCTGATCTTTCTTCCCTGTATTCAGAGACAGCTAGAACGTGTCTGGGTATAACACTTCCATAGCTACTGTTGTGCATCTGGGGAAGAGGCAGAGAAGAGCAGTATCCTTTCAGGTCTGTTAACATGGTAATCATGCTGGTAATGACTTTGTATGACACCAATTTTAATCCCAAACCAGGAGCTACTTAGATCTCTGCAAAAGTATAATAGTAAGCAGTTATGCCAGCAGTCAAAGCACTGTAACTTTTTTTAACGTACTGCTGAAAATTGGATGTCTCATATTAGCATGCAGGTCATAAGACACCTAGCCTGCTAGTGCTTGTGCCAGCTACGGTCATGTGATTATTCACTTCTTGGAACAGCGGCTCTCCTGCTGTGAAGTGATACATTGAGCACAACTCATCTTTCAGAGCTATGACACATTTGTAAGAATTGCAGCAAGAGGGAATCATTGGTGCAGAGGGAGGAGACTTCTACATGTTTATGACAAACCCTCTTCATGTTTTAAAATAACCAGTTATTATGGATATAACCACCTAAGAGGAACAAGAACGAAAAGTTGCATTCTGTTGCATTCCAAGAAGAAATCTGGATCAGGCTTACTAAACCAACATAAGCTTCCTCGAGCAACATAATCCAAACCCGTGTCACTTTCTGTATAAACTAAGGATGAGAAAGTGATTAGGAGACTCAAGGAGAGGTGTTACAATACTCTGGATGATGAAAGAGACATGTTTTGAGTAGTATTTTATAGATGAAAGTGAATTCTCATATAGTTCCGTACGGTGTCATGTAACGGTCATCAAACTGAATCACTTTAAAATGGATCTACAACTGTAGCAGGCTCAGCTTTCCAACCCAGGATCCTCGATTGGCTGCATGGACTATCATAAGTGTCTCAAATCAAAAAAGTGGAAGCGGCTGGCAATCCACTTCTGGCTTGGTAAGGTAAAGGTAAAGGTTTTCCCCTGACATGAAGTCCAGTCGTGTCCGACTGGGGTGTGGTGCTCATCTCCATTTCTAAGCCGAAGAGCCGGCATTGTCCGTAGACACCTCCGAAGTCATGTGGCCGGCATGACTGCATAGAGCACCGTTACCTTCCGGCTGGAGCGGTACCTATTGATCTACTCACATTTGCATGGTTTCTGGCTTGGATAAACAGATTTTTTAAGGATCCAGGGAGCTGCAGCCTAGTTAAAACATGAGCTTCTACTCCTAGAGGTATCATGGAAAAGCTTTTGGAGTGGCTCAAAAAGGATGTGTGGGGAGACTGAAGGTACAGGTAGCTACAGCTCCTCATTTTGCTCATGGGTGATAAAATCATCAACATTTGCAAGCTTTGCCTGCTGTAAATTGTTTCCAGTAGCAGGAACTGTGTCTCTGTGTGCCAGTAGCTTGGGAACACAAATAAGAGGAAGTTACTGTACTTACGTTCCACTTGCATCTGTTTGGCTATTATGAGACATCAGATCCAACATAATGCTAACATTGAGGGTGTCCAAGGAAATGCTACAAAGAAGTGAGGCTGCGGCACTCAAGTCAGAGAAGTGTTGATCTTAAGCCAAGACTTCATATCTGATTCGCAGTACAGACAGGGATATTAATGGACAGAAAGAATAACTAAGGCACAAAGATGAGCAGCAGCAAGTCATGGAAGAACATTGGTCTCAAAATCATTTTAATCCTCTCTTGTTTCACTGGGACAAAAAAAAATACTTCCAAGAGATGCTTTAGTTCACAAAGCTTATGTACAATGTCTATATAACAATTTAAGGAATATCATACAACTGATATCTTGTACACATCCGATCCTTTAACCTTTATCCATATTTACATTATGGTATGTTAATAACATTATTGGATGGAAGACTAAAAACAAACATAGCCAGAGGCCTGAATACTTGACATAGTGATCAGCCTCTTTGGTGCCCCCAAAATCACGGTAGGTTGCATCAAGAACAAATAAATAATGAATCCTTTATAAATCAGTAGTCATTCTTATTAGGCGACTTATAAAGAATTGCACTTGCTATAATTTACATATACCGAAAGCTCTATGGATGTCACACTTTTATATTACGACTATGCAACAACAACAAAATCCTAGGGGGGAATTGTGGTTTGTTTTTTTAAAAAATTAAAATGGCAGTAGTAAGACTCTCCCTTTTGGGAACTTGGTGTGAAAGAGCATGAAAACACCTACATATTTAGATTTAAAACAGATGTAAAATACTAAGCACTGTCCTACTTTGGAACTGGTTTTATTAAGTCCTTGGATCACCGTTTCCAGGTTTGTACAAATACATTAAAAGTAGCAGCAGGTAAAGGAATGAACAGGCACCAAACCAGTCCTGAAAAGGAGATGATTTGCGGGGAGTCAAAGCAGTTTCTTTCCATCCTGGAAAAGTAGTTTTACACAAATACTTGACAGTCTTATTCATAGTGTGTTCTCCCTTCAATAGCTAGGTTGCATTATCTGTATTGGCGAGTCCACCAGACATTTCACAACTCATTCTGCTTTATTTGAGGAGGCTCTAATTTTCGGGAGAGTGCAGTTAAAATCTGGTTGAATTTCTCATATCTTTCACTTTGGTTGACCTGTGCTCCTTTGCTGCCCCAGAGCAATCTCATCTGAAATTCTGTTTTGAAGATCTCGTTCATTTCATTGTCCGGCTGAAAACCTGAGGAAGAAATAGGAAATATACAAGTGTTACTGTAAAACAGCCTCTTAAACAGGGAGCCATTTGAGAGAAGCACCTTTGAAGAGGCACTTAGCGCTATCTTCTGTTGCAATAGACACCTAGAGGTTTAATCATTCCTCTCTATGTGGAGTGTGTTCACAAAAACAGTCTTGTGATAGATGTAATGCTTGACCCAGACCATTCGTGCCCGCATTTATGTCAAAATGGCACCAGCAGCAGATATGTCAATTACAGCCAGCATCTGATGGCTGCAACAGCGAACACAGTGGCTCTGACAACAAGTCTTTTCCAGTGACATCTCCAGGGATGTTTCTCATACAGGAAATTAGCCACTTTGATAATGGAGTCTGGAATGGAGAGCCTCCCCCTCCCCAAGGGGATCATATGAATGAACAAATGAGGTCATGACCCACAAACCACAGAGAATCAATCACACAACATTTTGCCATCTTGACGACTTAATTCTCCAATACCGAGCTAGTACCGTATTTCGAGCCTAATACTGAATAACATTTTCTAAATTTAAGACCAATTCTCCCAACACCTTCTTATGCTTAGGTTGATGATCTGTTACTTAGTAAGAAATGCGTTGCAGGTGTGCTTCTCACAAGCTGCACTGATTTGTAAGACCTGTCCCAATCCCTGCGTATGCTACAGACATGCCCAAAGGCAAAGCACAGCTGATGTGCCTTTCATGTACATCCACATTTCAACTCAATTGTGCAAAACAAGAATTAAGAAACAAAAAGGAAAAAAATCTCTTGATTTCATGAGTTGAGTTTCAACATCTCTAGACCTCATTCCCACCCCACTTCTTGTAGAATTACATACTCAAAAGTCCTTGTATTGGCACTGAACAGGATGTTTTCTTCCTACCTGTGAGTATCCTTTCCGCATTTGTGCTATACAGGCTGGCGTTTTGTGCGATCAAGCGCGCAGTCGCCAAGTGCTTCAGCATGATTTCACAACTTTGGTCAGTGTTCTCCCACACATCCATCCCATCAAATACAACTGTCTGTCGTTCCAGCAGGTTGACCAATGGCATCAGCAGGGGAACGGTGACAATGTTTTGAGGAACAGAAGTGATCTCTGGGAAGAAGAGAAGGAAAACCCATTAGCCCAGTGTTTCTCAACCTTCCTAATGCCGTAACCCCTTAATACAGTTCCTCATGTTGTGGTGACCCTCAACCATAACATTATTTTAATTGCTACTATATATTTGTAATTTTGCTAGTTATGAATTGAATGTAAATATCTGATATGCAGGATGTATTTTCATTCACTGGACCAAATTTAGCACAAATACCCAATACGCCCAAATTTGAATACTGGTAAGTTTGAGGGGGATTGATTTTGTCATTTGGGAGTTGTAGTTGCTGGGATTTATAGTTCACCTACAATCAAAGAGCATTCGGAACTCCACCTACGATGGACTTGAACCAAACTTGGAACACAGAACTCCCATGACCAAGAGAAAATATTGGAAGGATTTGGTAGGCATTGATCTTGAGTTTTGGAGTTCTGGTTCACCTACATCCAGAGAACACTGTGGACTAAAACAATGATGGATCTGGACCAAACTTGGCATGAATACTCAATATACCCAAATGTGAACACTGGTGGAGTTTGGGGAAAATAGACCTTGGCATTTGGGAGTTATCGTTTTTGGGATTTATAGTTCACCTACAATCAAAGAGCATTCTGAACCCCATCAATGATAGAATTGGGCCACACTTTGCACACAGAACCCCCATGGCTTACAGAAAATACTATGTTTTTATGGTCTTTGGCGACCCCTCTTGCGACCCTCCTCAAGGGGTCTCAACTCGTAGGTTGAGAAACGCTGCATTAGCCCCTTCTGCGCATTCACAAGCTAAACCGTTCAAGTGGAATGGGCCCCTCTGCCTCATTCAGGCAAGATTCCAATGATGTTTTGCATTGGAAACCAGTGCTATGATTCTACTACCACTTGGCACGGAGTAACTGGAAAGTTAGGCAGGTACTACTGCCTATATTGATTCTGCTACTTAATAGGCACAGTTTACGTTGTGGGGGATCTTTGGCCTGTAATTCCCACCCAACTGTCATTGGTAAATATATGGAGAATCAAAGAACCTCCCCTCCCCCCAAACACACACACACACAGAGAGCTTCTCCTTTCAGCTAGGGGAGAAAAGGTGACTCGTAGATTTTTTTTAGGGAAATCCCAAGAAAAGAAAAGAAAGGGAAACTGGGATAGTCATTCAATGGGAATGAGTCAGTGTTCCCAGAAAATAACACTCTTTATGCCTGTCACTTTGCAGCAAATCTGTGTATTTAGATAATTGCACATGCATCTAAAGCAAATGGTTTCTAGTATCCTGTGGAAGGAAAATGGAGAATCTCAGTTCATTGTGTCTCTGTCCCACGTGCCAGAAATGAGCCATGAGCAAAGCAGGATGTGGTTATTACAACTAATGGATTCTGCCCCCTACTCTCCCTGACAGGCCTCAAGTTGCTTCTGCGCTCTCCATTAATGAATTGATAGATGGGGCTTCAGGGCTTGGTTAGACTTCCTTCACGAGGATGAAAAATAAGACATAACTGTCTGCCTCTGAATGTGCACTCACCTCTTCCTTCATGCAAGGCTTTGCAGAATGGTTTCAGCTGTTTCTCATACATAATGGCTGTCTGAGTGTAGCAGTGCCTCAACATGGTCCATGTCTGCTCCAGCCTTGTAACCTATGGGGGGAAAAGAGCTGAAATGTTAAACAACTCTAGCTGCTATAACTACAAAATACTCACACTGAACATGTTATATATTGGGATCTTTTCCCCACAGCTCTCAAAATATATAATTCCAAGAGAGAGCAAGATTTTTCAACTCTCAGAAATCCTCTAACAGCTGGTAAACTGGCTGGGATTTCCAGGAGTTGTCGGCCAAAACACCTGGGAACCCACAGGTTGAGAACCATTGTTCTAAAGGTTTCTTGTGAGCCCTTGTGTCATTTGCACCTTAAAGAAAAGGGGTGGAAGTCTAAAATTTAATTTTTTTCCAGAAAGAAATGAAATTTAAAATGATTTGTTGTGTGCCCTCATGTTTCAGATTTATAGTGACTGCAAACCTATCGCAGAGTTTTCTTGGCATTATTTTTTCAAGGGATGGGGTGGGGGGATTGCCATTGCTTTCTGTGGCTAAGAGAGCATGGATTTGTCTAAGGTCATCCAGGGGGTTTCCATGGTCAAACTGGGATTTGGAGCTTGGTCTCCAGCATCATATGTCCAATGCTCAAACCACTACCCCATGCTGGTTCCAATAGAAACATTTTTTGTTCTTTTGGATGCCACTGGATCCCTTTAGTGAATGTTATTATGTATTCATTTATATCCCAGTATAGGGAATTTTCTTTTACCTGAGGCATTTCCAGAGCCTTCATTACAGCCGAGAAGGCATAGAGATCCCCCATAGATTCTTTGAGCTCCACAGCGACTTGGATAATCCTATTTAATGTCGCGACACGCTCTTCTAAGTTTCCTGTACAGCCAAGAATATCCACTGCGATTCCTATTGCCATAGTATTGTGTCTGAGGGAGGAAGCAAATCAGAGGCAGTTAGGACAACTTATCAAGTTTGCTGGAGAGGTGCTGTGGAATGAATCCAAATGAGAAAAAAGAGCAAAACGATTTTGCAGAACTGAAGTTATGTCACTGGGTTGTAGATATGACTTCCTTTTTACCTTGTGAAGCTTATCCAAGGAAAAATCTTAAAAGCACACCACATAATGCAAATTCCTCATGTTCAGAAAGATCCCATGAGATAACAGGTAAGTAGGATTTTGTTGTGGTTTTTTTAGCATAGAGAATAAGCCATCATCAACCTGACTGGCACATTTTTCCATTTTTAAAAAAAGAATACCTATTTAAGCAAGCTCAAGCAAGGAGCTGAAGAACACAGGAAAGTAAATACTTGGGATGCCTGACAATTATTTTGGCAATCCCCACATCACTGCTGCACAAAGAAGAAAGGAGAAACACCAAACCATGTACTGGGTCCGACAAGGCAACAAAAGAAGTTTTGCACACTTGGAAGGAAAGAAATGCCCAGCCTTCGTACTTGGCAGCAAAGTTGCCAAGACTGGCAAGGCAATTTGAAAGTGGCTGTCACAGGAGTCCAAGCCAGCCGCAGATCATGGCTGCTTGGCAGGAGAAGGAGCAGCCCAACTGGCCAATGCTTGTTCGAGGCAACACATTTTTCTCCAGACTTTGAGGAAACTATAACAACCACACCATTGGCCAAAAGCTCTGAACACCTCTATGCTGGGAAGGAGTTATATTTATTTGCCCTTAGGCACAATTTCCCCTATACTTGGAAGTAATTCAGTATTCTTATGGTATTTAGTAATTTAGTAAAGTTCAACTAGTCTAAATTCTACTGATGTCCCTTAGAATTCGGTATGTGCTGGATTCCATTGTTTATAGAAATCCTGCTCATACTTGCAAATCTTGTTTTTGTTTTGCCTCATATCTTGATCGGAAGAACTGCTGACCGTAGGCATGAGGAAGTTGCTCTGGTTAGTTCCCCAGCTAACCACTTGCACATCTCTCTTGCCTGGAGGGGTTAGCCCTTGGATGCACATAGGTCTTCTCATGAGGCCACTAAATGTGTGGCAGGTGAACCTACTTGAATAAAATTGTGCAATACAGAAGTGTTGCCCTTGTATCTTCTGTCTTCATTGTTTTTCCAAAAGCGTTCTTTGACCCAGAACATAACAATAGATAGATAAGACAAGGCAGCCTGTCCTAGAAATGGCTCCATGTCCCTGGAGAAATTTTAAGTCCAGACAATCTTATATTTGCTTTTGTTACATATGTCTGCGTGATATGTTTATTACTACTCTTCCTGTTCCTCACCAAGAAATCAGGCGATTCTGCTTGTTTTCTGTTATGTGGGCACACACCATTAACTTGGGGCAATAATCCTTCAACCAAACTTATCATTCAGGAGTCTGACTTCCATCAGATTAGGCTATTTATCTTTCTTGCTCAATAATGTCTGCTCTCCAAGGACGTATGCAGAATTCCTTCCCAAAAACAAAGCCCAAGGCCCTTCTAAATGAACATACCAGAGATCACATCTAGGACTCTAAGCATAGGACATGCTCTCCATGGCTGTCTGGTGTTTTGTTCTGCTTTAAGCTAGTCATGGTGGGCTGAACCCATAATCTTCTACACACAAAGACTGTGTAGAAGCTGATCTTTTGAGATCCATATTCTGCATTAAAGAATGCAGAATGTGGATCTCAAAAAGTTTACACTTGCAGCCTCAAATCATAAACTTTTTTCAAATCTTATATACTTCCATAAAATCTGTATTTGCAGAAATGTGCTGGAGATTTGCAGATTTTTGAAAAAGGGTATGTCTAAAATAATGTGTTGTTGACAACACCTCACAATACTTTGGTCATTCCACAGATATATAAACCTCACTTGCCTACTTTCCAACAGACCTCACAACCTCTGAGGATGCTTGCCATTGATGTGGGCGAAACGTCAGGAGAAAATGGCCACTCAGCCTGGAAAACTCACAGTAACCCAGTGTCTAAAATAATGTTTCCTTGGGGCAGTTGTTTCGAAAATGTTGCTTTGACTGATTTATTGTGATCCTATCTGATAGGGCACTGCTTCTTAAACTTTGTTGCTTCATGTTGGGGTCATGAAAAATTTGGCAACATAAAAGGTTTCTGAACGCCACTCACACAAATGTGTTAGCAACAACATGCAGTGTTGACAGTGGATTCTGCAGAAAGTGTTTCAGCTGTATTCCACAAAAAGGAAAATCAGCCTGTTTAGCAAGCCTTGCAAATGCTGATTTGTTATCAGTACATGTTTGATTTTATGCCTATTCAATGTAACTTCTATACCTGGGGTCACGTAAAAATGTATCACATAAAATAGGAGCCCGCAGTGGCACAGCAGGTTAAACTGCAGAGCTGCTGAACTTGCTGATTGAAAGATGGCCGTTTGAATCCAAGGAGCAGCTTTTGCCAACCTAGCCGTTCGAAAATATGCAAATGTGAGTAATTCAATAGGTACCGCACCAGCAGTCATGCCGGCCACATGGAGGCATCTACAGACAATGCCAGCTCTTCAGCTTAGAAATGGAGATGAGCACCCCCCCCCCCCCGGGGTCAGACACGACTAGACTTAACGTTAAGGGGAAACCTTTACCTTTACTAGAAAAGGATCATGAGTGGGAAAATAAGCCTGTGATGTAGGGCTTGCCCAAGGTCATCAATGGGTTTTGATAGCTGAGTGGGGATTTGAACCCTGGTCTTGTGGAGTCTTAGTCCAACACTTAAACCACTAGACCCCCTAAAATTACTTATTTATTTGTAACCTTTTAATAGGTTTATTAGTCTACTGTATATTACAGTGCCCCTTCAGTATCTGCTAGGGTTGGTTCCAGAATCCCTCAGGAACACCAAAATCCATGGATGATCAAGCCCCAATGGTGGAGTCAAATTGCAAAATGGAGATTGACTTCTTGGAATTTTTGTTCTTGGAATATTTTCAAACCATGGATAGTTGAATCTGTGGGTACAGAGGCTCGACTGTAATATGTACTCTTTTAATACGAGGATTATCTGGAAAGTAAGGTTACAATGCACCTAGCTTTCATGGGGAATTTTCTTGGGGGAAGTTGGTATGTACTGCCATGTAGGAAACCAGCGGAAATGAACGAGCAATGCCAGTCGTCAGTAGCTCATTGACAGGCTTTGTGAAGATTAGAGATGAGCATCCTCATTCCGTTTCCTTCCAAGTGTGAAGTTTGCACTGTAATACACTACCTAAATGCTAAAGACATGAATGCCACTACAATTCATCGTGAAATCGTTTCATTTTATGGAGAGAACGTAATGTCAAGACAGTAGGTGACAAAATGGGCACGGAATATATTGTGAGACCATGAAGAAACTTCACAGAGCCATCCAAAACAAATGTGGGATGCTGACAGCGGGAGTCTGTCTCCTTCATGACAATGCATGTCCATTCTGCGCTCATGCATCACAAAAGTTGTTGACTTCATTTGGTTGGGATGTTTTAAGCCACCCCTCTCGTACCCAGTGACTACCCTTTGTTCACTAAATTGAAGGAACATCTTGGTGGAAAACACTTTTCTGACGACAGCAAGTGAAAATTGAAGTGACGAACTGGCTGAAAAAGGCGGAGGGAAACTTCTATGACACAGGCATCAAAACCTTGTCCCATGGATGACAAAATGTATTGAACTGAATAGTGATTATGTGGAAAAATAATACAATACCTATGCTACAATCCATGTAAGATTTATTAAAACATATTAATTCTTTGTAATATATATATATATATATTGTACTTTCCAGATAACCCTCGTAGATACAGTCAGAAATAGTGAAAGGAAACATTTGACAAAAGTAATTTTGCATGGAGAGCTAAAATAAATCCCAGTGGTTCTTCTCAGCAGCCTGATATATTAACTTCAGTATACAAAAAGAGGGGAAAAAGATCCGTTCCCTATACCAACATTTACCTTTCAATTATGTCAAGGCGCAGTTGGTGTCCGTAAGGCAGTGTAATAACCTCCAGGCCTGACTTTACTCCCATGGTCCTCCGCATCTCTTCAGAGACTTCGAGTATCCTAGCAACCTGTTAAGTACAAGCGTGCAAACAGAATGGGTCCGGATGGAAAGGAGACGGCCTGAACATTAACCAAGATTTATGGTGCAAACAGCATGCGGTAATCCCTAAACGTTCCCCTTGCTTTCTGTAATGCATGCACACAGTTAGGTAACATGTATTTCAAATGAAGCCAAATCTCAAGAAGGAGTACACACTCAATAAAAACACCTTAAAATGCTTAATTGACACAAGTGAAGCATATCAGAGAAGCTGTTAATCTGGGATTCAATGGCTGTCAGTCTGGTGTAGGAAGCTGCACAATACAGGATGCAAGTGATGCGGAAAAACTGATAACTGCCATTCCAATACTTCACAGGCCTCATAGAAAGATCTCATACGTGTTGTCAATTTTCAACCAGTTATGGCATTTTGAGCAGTAATTTGATGTATTGACTTTGACCCAAAACAGTTGCTAAGCTCCCAAGTATAGCAGACCAATGGAAGTTACACAAGTGGTGAGTTACCAAGTTCCCACTGTTGAAACAAGTCTACTCTAACAGACTAATGAATAGATTGACTTATGTGCCAGGCCAGGTACATCTACACTGTAAAATTAATGCAGTTTGACACCACTTTAACTGCCATGAAGCAATGCTAGGGAATAATGGGAGTTATGCTTCCACAAGGTCTGTAGTCTTCTCCACCAACGGATGCTGATGCCTCACCAAACTAATCCTACAGGATTGAACCATGGTAGTTAAAAAAGTGTCAAACTGCACTAATTCTACAGTGTAGATGCACCTCTGGTCAAAGTCAATGAAAACAGTATGTAGTTTGGAGAGGCAGAAGTTTCTCCAGGCCAACACTGATATGTGTTAATGCCTCTTTTGAAGGAACAAGAATGGAGTCCCTGGTGGTGCAGTGGGTTAAACCCTTGCTCCGGCAGGACTGAAGACCAACAGGTTGGAGGTTTGGATCCAGGCAGAGCAGGTTGAGCTCCCTCTGTCAGCTCCAGCTCCCCATGCAGGGACATGAGAGAAGCCTCCCATAAGGATGGTAAAACATCAAAAAAAATCCGGGCATCCTCTGGGCAACATCTTTGCAGACAGCCAATTCTCTCACACCAGAAGCGACTTGCAGTTTCTCAAGTCACTCCTGATACAAACAAAGGAGCAAGAATGGGTAAAATCAGCTTTCTATTTGCCCCTTTGACACTATTCAATTATAGTTCTGTGATTCTACTTAAGTGGCATGGCAGTGTCCTATGGAATCTTGGGATTTGTAGTTTGGGAGGTACTAGAGTTCTCTCAATGAGAATTCTTAAATAGCCCTGTCTACACTACAAATCCCAGGATTCCATAGGATGATACCATGGTAGCTAAGTAGAATTCAGTGCTATAATGGTATCGTGTGAAAGGGCCCTTAGTGATATGCTATCCCTACCTTCATATCTTCCCTCCGATTCCTACTTCCCTCCCAGTTTGATATTGCTTTTGCAGGGACAGCTCAGCTATTGTTTTATTACCATCTCTGGAGTGGAACGTTTACTAGCCTTGTGATTGCCCTCCCATCTAACTCAAGCACTGAACATAGGTGTTAGTGACTGTAGCTGATTTTAACTGTTTGACTTCATTTTTTTGTTTCTGGAACGTAGCAATGAATCTTACTGTATTTTATTTTAAGATGCTTCTGGAAAACAAGAAGAAATGTATTTGATAAAATAAGAAATGTTAAGAAATGTATTTGATAAAATAAGTAAAAGAGTATGAAATACTGTTCAAAACAGTATTTTCATAAAGGCATATAATGTAGCTCATTTACAAATGCTAAACAGGTCCAGATTTGATTAGTGTCTAGATGGGAGACCACAAGGGAATCTTATGAATTTCATAATTGAAAGGAGAATGCCAATAACTCAATGGTTCCCTAATTTAATTTCAAAATGAGGGAAGGGGAAAGTAGAGGGGGTTAGAATGATAAGCAACCATCCTGTGGGCTTGCAAAGATCAAATAGAAAGGTCAGTTACTGAAGAAAACAATACCTAATCATTGCAAAAGGTTCACTTTACATCTCCATAATTGCAAACAACACAATTACATACAGAAATGAGACCAACAGCATTTCTTCAAGATAAAGAAAATCAGTTCTGCCACAACTGAACATGGATGTGGGTTTAGCTCGCAATCATGATGAAATGGTTAGCTATAAAAATGTGTCAGAATCATAGAATAGAATTATAGAATAATAGGGTTGGAAGAGACCTCATGGGCCATCCAGTCCAACCCCCTCCCAACAAGCAGGAAATTGCACTGAAAGCACCCCTGACAGATGGCCATCCAGCCTCTGTTTCAAAGCCTCCGAAGAAGGAGCCTCCACTACACTCCAGGGTAGAGAGTTCCACTGCTGAACTGCTCTCACAGTTCAGGAATGGTTTGTTAATGGAAACCAACTGGGAAAATGAGTTTTGTGCCTGACAGTAATCCTTGGTTGGTTCCAAATTTAAGAGATAAAAACTCCTGTATTTGAAGAAAGGGGCCTAGGATATAGTGGAGGCTTCTACCGGGAGAGGGTGACAGAGCCCCTTCTATACTGCCATATAAAATCCAGAATATCTGCTCTGAACTGGATTTTATGGCAGTGTAGACTCATATAATCCAGCTCAAAACAGATAACATGGATTATCTGATATGATAATCTGAATTATATGGCAGTATAGAAGGGGTCAGGGCAGCAAAATTAGCTAAATCCTCTTTCCTGCTGCACAATCTGTCATGCTGCTTTGGAGGATCTCCAGATTCTTTGGAAAGTGTTGTATATGTATGCATAGCGGAGATCCCATTTGAGCTATTCCCCCACCTCCTAGGCGGATAGTCTCTGGGAATATTTCCATCATTATGGGCCTGCCAAGGTATTAGAAAGAGACGAGAGAAACAGCTGGGAAATTTTACAGCTTCTGCCTGCAAAGCCCCAGGCATCATGATGACAGTAAACTTGCGATCACAGGCCAAGTCCCATTAGGAATATCTTCACTATCTGGCATGATATAGCCCTGTTTGAGATAAAGTAATCCCATCCTTCTATCTTTAGTAATTAGGCCTGTTGGTGGTGGAGGGGGGAAGGTCACCCGTCAATCTATGGTGTCCACATAAATTTCATAAGAGCTTTCTTAGGCAAGGAATATTGATACTTTTGCTTGTTCCTTTCTCTGAAAATATAGCCTACAGCACCTTGTATTTGTTGGTTGTCTCTCATCCAAGTACTAACTGAGCAGACCATGCTCAACTTCCAAATTAAGATGGGATCTGCTACTTTTAGGGCATCTTGGACCCATTGGGCTGAATTGATTTCATATGGAGACCATTTGTTGACTGTGGTGCAGTGACTCTAGGAAGCCAGCCATTCCCTAGTGCCTAGTGTACAATGGCCATCATCAATATAGATTAATCTCTCTGAGTGCTCCTTGTAATGAGGAGGAGTGTTCAAATGGTCTCCTTCCTCCTGGTACAACAGGCCACAGCTGATGCCGACTTGATTTATAGCATCCTCTGGGAGTGCTGCTGATGCCAACAAACTTGTAATTGCTTTATGGGGAGTTATTCAAAGGGGTGTCATTGAACTAATGGCAGCAAGGGGGTGGGTGATCATTACGAAGAAAGGTAGAGGTAATGGTATTTGTTGCTGGGGAGGGTATCAGAAAGGAATTCAAATTACTAGCTCAGTTTCATAGGAAGTGTGGGAAATGGGGGGGGGGGCTTCCACACATTTCACCCATTTAGCTGCTTCCAGATGAGTTTCACCAACAACAGGTATCATTAAAAATAAAACTAATGATACTTGTAGATACTTGTTATGCCAATATTTTGAAGTTATCTCTGGTCTTTTTTGCAGCAACTGCCAGTTACACCCAGGCAGGAATGTCCTACTAGTACATTTAGATTAGCATTTATCAGCATGGCTGATGGCCAGCTTGTGGTATTCAGCATGCCTGGCCCATGAATTTTCTGTAAAAGCAGTCAACCTTCTGGAGAAAAATTGTTTTTTGGAAATATCCTTATAGGGCTATGCAGGACCTGTGTATATCAAAATAACTCATGTTTTCTATTTAGGTTTTAGTTCAGGGATGGAAATTATGTCATTATCTAGATCAGTGGTTCTCAACCCCAGATGCTTTGTCCTTCAACTCCCAGAAATTCTAACATCTGGTAAACTGCCTGGGATTTCTGGGAATTGTAGGCCAAAACACCTGGGGACCCACAGGTTGATAACCACTGCTCTAGAGACTGATGTACTTCATCTCCCAACATCCCTCTCCATTGGCTATTTTGCAGATTTCACCTGTCTAAAATCATCTGGAGAGCCACATGATTCCCACCCCTTTCCACTAAGAGGAATACTAAATACATTGTGTTAAAAGAGTTTAAAAAATTTCCTTGTGACACATTTAGTGATATGTTGTCGAAGGCTTTCATGACTGGAAATACTGGGTTGCTGTGAGTTTTCCAGACTGTATGGGCATGTTCCAAAGCATTCTCTCCTGACATTTCGCCCACATCTATGGTAGGCATCCTCAGTGGTTGTGAAGTCTGTTGGAAACTAGGCAAGTGAGGTTTATATATCTTCCTCCCACCCTTATATATTCCACAGATATATAAACCTCACTCGCCTAGTTTCCAACAGAGCTTGCAATCTCTGAGGATGCCTGCCATAGCTATCGGGAGAGGATGCTTCTGGAACATGGCCATACAGCCCAGAAATCTCACAGCAACCAATTTTTAGTAATGTCTTGATTAAAGAACACTGTCCCCAGTGAAAGAGCACCCTTCAAAATGTCACATTGGGAGTGTGCCTCTCGGACTACACCCCAAAAGAGGATCTTGGGGAGAAAATATGGTTTTGATCTACCTCTCTCATGATCCCCTGGGGAAATACTGGCTCAAGGCGTTCTCTGAGTTTTAACCCCCAAAAGTAACTTCCATGCTCTGTACAAGAAAATCTAAATTATTTATTCCTCTAAAGACAAGTTAATCTAGATCCCATATTTCAAAGGCAGCTCCACTAGAGGGCAGAGTGAGCAATCCAGGAATCCCAGACTTACGGCTACCTTGAAGCCTCCTGTGTCCTTACCAGCGACCTTCCTAATTTCCTTCTGAACCATATTCTCAGGAACCAAAGTCATTCAGCATTTACCAAGATTGCCAAGGAGTTAAATCAATACTCCGACAAGAAATGAATGCTACCGTCACAGTACTCACTACCTCTTAATATCCACTCTTGCCTCCATGACGTATGAAGAATTTTGAGGAGGTCCCCTGAACATTGGGACTAGTCATCTGACTGTACCGTTTTGGCTACTTCAGTGAACTAGGAGCCAAACATGTGACCCCAATATACAAATGTGGTGCTTAGCTGAGCATGCAGAAACACAATACTAGCTAACACACTAGATATACCATTACCAAGCATGCAGAACACAAGACTGGTCAACACACCAGCTACACATAAGAGTGACCATGCTTTAGCTACAGGCCCAAGGTCTCTCTAGCCCAGTGGTTCTCAACCTGTGGGCCCCCAGATATTTTGGCCTCCAACTCCCATAAATTCTGGTAACAGCTGGTTTCCCACAGGTTGAGAACCACTAGCCCAATGGTTCATTTACACTGCTCCACCATATTCCTATGGCAAGGGAATGATGTGGCCTTTGGATTTTGTTGGCCTGTAAGTCCCATTAACCCTAGTCAATACAACCAATGGTGAGCAATACTAGGAGCTGTGTCAATAACATCTAAAGTGCTGCATGATTCTCTAAATGTGGCCTATGGAAAGTCCCCCAGCACTATTGCATTCCTCAGCAATGGATGTACAAGAGCATTCATCCTCTGACACTGAAGATGATAAACAGCCATCCTGACTAGCAGTAGTTAACAGTCCCAGCTTCCATGAATTCAGCCGTCTCCTTTTAACGTAGTCCAAGTTGGCAACTTTTGCTACATCTTAGAGCAGTTAATTCCTCATTTTAACTATGTGTGGTGGGAAGAAGTACTTCCTTTATCTGTCCTGAATTTCCCAGTCTTCTGTGTCAGCCAGATAATAGTATACTTTAATGATATCAGGCAGGATGTTCTGAATGGTTGTAATATCTAATCCAGATTACTGTCAAAATGCTTTAATACATTGGCTGCTGATGAATAGCATCAGAAAACCTCAGTGGGTTGAAAATATAGCAGGAAGAATATTAACAACCCTTAGCCATGGTGAACATCTTTCATTAGCGTCTAGTAAGTTCCCAGGTGCAACTCAAGGTGGTAATTTGGGTCTTGAAAGTATAGAAAAGTATGAAACAATGTGGAACAAAAATATCTGAAGACCCATTTCCTCCCATATTAACCTATCTGTTTGCGTAAGACATCCAAGGTTTGGTGTTAGATAGTTGTCAACTGGAGACAGAGCTTTCTCTGTAGTAGTATCCCACCTCTGAAGCTCCTTTCCTAGGTATAGTATCCTGCCTATATAATCAAGGCTTGTGGACAAAAATCTTTAGATATTCCCAGTTCTCACTGTTGCATGAGACAAATGGATGTGTTGCTTCAAATAACAGTTTGGTTCAGGCTTGTTTATACACACACACACACACAAACAGAGATAGATTTACCTTGCAGTCCATCTTAAGTATATGGTGAGCAATGGTCTTTGCACTGTTGTTAGTGAAAAACTCCTTCACCCTTTTTAACATGGCCGTCTCCAAGGGTTTGTTTTCCAAGGGGAGGAGTTTTGACTCAAAATTGTTGGGATGGAAACTGGAGACCATCTCAAGAACAGGCGCCACAAAGACGTCACTCTCGTTGCTCATCTCTGTCTGGGCTGTTAGTGGGTCCACAGAACTCAGGAAAGAATCCCTGTTGTCCAGGATCAAATAGTTTGGGTCAGGATGTGTCCCATTCTCCTTAGTAGTCAGATAGTCTACAAAGCTGTTCTTCTGGCATAAAGATTGCTTTGAAATTCTACAGTCTGCAGGAAGAGCTGTGTTCAGTTCACAATAGAGCACGTCTGAACCGTGTGATGGCCTCAGAAAGGGCACTTTACTGGGTTTAGGTGGTGGCTTCGGATAGAGTTGGCTATCCGAACCCCTGAGGACATCATTTATTTGTAACTCAGAAGCAAATCTCCGAAACATCAGGGGACTCAGAGCAGGTTCGCTGCCTGTCCTGAAGGCCGGAGACTTTCGACAAGGGCTGGTTTCTGCTTCATTTCCCTGAGACAGGTGTCTTGAACCTGGAGGTCAATATGGGAAAGAAATGAGACAGTGTTAACAGATGTCAATGGCAGAAGACCATTTAATGCTGGTGAAATCTCAATGGCAGCTGAATGAGACAAAGAGACAGGAAAAAAAAAACTTCCCAACCCATCTCAGAGCACACAGCAAGGAGTCGAGAGCCAAGGAGTCACACAGTTTGGTCATTAAAAACCCACAAAGTGTGTCAGGCTTTCCTCTTCATTCCAACAGTTTCAGAGGTTGAGCTTGAGGAGTTGTTGGGAGCCCTCAAGGACAAATCATCCCTTATACAAAAGTTATCAGGAAGTAATTTCATTCACTCTATTTTCTGGAGAAAACAAGATTAGTTTTACAAAAGCACTCACTCACAAAACTAACTGGCAGATTTTCATGTTTGAGCCAGAGTGCATGTAAACAAAATGTATTATTATTATTATTATTATTATTATTATTATTATTATTATTTACTTTATTTTTAGCCCACTTTTCCCCCCGAGAGGACTCAAGGTGGCTAACAGCCAAAGCAGAAGTTTACTCCAATCAGATGCCTTCCATATATGTTTGGTTGCAGTTCCCATCATTCCCAGACTGCATAACTAAACATACGTAGCTTTTCCAAACACTGCCATTCTCTTCCATTCATTCACTCATATAATTTATATTCTGTCTTTCACCCAAAGATGAGAGTCCCAAGGTGGCTTACCAAAATTAAAAACAGTTATAATAATATATAATAATAACAAGTCATTTAAAATAATTAAACAACAACACCATCAATACATTAATTTCAAGCAGTTAAAAAGTGACAAAAAGTCATCTAAATATTCCATAAAACCACACTGGGGTGCTTTGTATAGTTTTCTGGGGCTGCCAATTCTTCTCTGATGGGAAATCTTTCAGATCACTTTAATTCTTCACAATGCCATATCCTGAAGATGTGCCACTTACAGAAGGGCAGGGAAACATACATGTTCCTGAATTACTACTATAAGAGAAGACCCAGCCAGCAAATTCAGTGGTGAGGCATGTTGGGAGTTGTATTGAAACATAATCTAGAAGGCCACCATGACTTGAAGTTCACTGGAAAACTCCACCCAAATGGTTCCCCTTCTGCTATGCAAAGCGGCTGTACTGTCACATTGCTCAGTGGTGACTGTGACAATATTATAGGCTCTACAGTCAGAGGTGGAACATCTCCAGGGCTTTGAACAGGAGCCAGTTTGTAACAGAAGCTGACGGGCAGAAGGAGAAACAAGAGAGTGTGACTCATAGGAAGAGTCCCACATTTTGTATGGAAAGAACATTTCCTGTAAAGGAGAGCCTGAGTACATAAGGAGTTATGACAAGCATGAACTCCAAGGGTCTGCATGGCTCACTCAGGATCAGTCAGAATGTTAATTGCTTCCAGAAGGGAGGAACATACCGAAAAAGGCATTTGAGGCCCAGCTTTGAAGGAGCAAAACTCTTTCTGATGTAATAGTAGATCTTATTGATGGGAAACTTTAACTGGCTTGGAGGAGAGAACACAGCCATTATTCCCCTCCTCCCTTAAAATGACAGGAGGCCAAGTCCAGCAAACATTCTTCCAACTCATTTGGTTCCTCAAAATTAAAAGAATATAACAAGGACCACACTAGATCAAAGGGAAGTCCCATCTAGCTCGGTCTCCAGTTACAATTCTGCCCAAATAGATACCACTGGGAGACTGATAAGTCAGACATGACAACAATAGATTCTGCAACAAAGATGGAGGGCTGGAGGGCAGAACTTGCAATAAGCACACCACACACAAGATGAAGGACAAAGGACAAAATAACAAGGCTTGGACCAAGGCGAGACCGTGAGGGGAACTGAGAACACACACCCTCTCTCACACACAAAGCTAGACAGTGGGAAGTCACCACTGTATATTATGTTTTGCCTTTTCTGACTCCAATTATTTATTAAAGGTTCTTTTGCTGCCACCAATGTATTATTTCATAGGCCACCTCTTTCAATGAAATGTCTCAAAAGCCACACAAAGACTTCAGTTGGAATAAAACAGGAATATGTTGTTTGTTTTGAACAGTCAATATGCGTAATGGTTTCAAATGACTTATCAGGCTTTACTTCTTACAGAGGGTGGCACTTATATCTTGGGTTTCTTAAACAAAGTTTCCCACACCAAAATCCAAACAGGATCTTTTAAAACCTTCTGGTTCTCCTTTCCTACTACAGCACTCTAAACACTATAGAGGCCTATAACTATTATCCTCAAAGAGGTAACTATCATAAAACTAACAGTTCCTAATTCCCTCCCTACCTTCAAAACTCCTAACCCTTCTTCCATGCTAAACTCCTGTCTTCTTCCATCCCAAACTCCTAACTGAAATTAAAGTGGCTGCTTTGGCTCCTTCTCTTTCCCTCTGGCTCCGCCCATTTCCAGTTACTAAGCTTTTCCCCCCAATTTTATCAGCCAATCAGAATGCACTTCTGGCTAAGAGGCTGCCTGATCACTCCACTCCCTCAACTCTACTTATCTTAGCAAGCTGGGCCTGTTTTCTGACTTTTACACCAACCCTTTAAGGGAGTCCAATCTGTTTCAGACCCCTTCTCAGGTTCACTGGAACTGGGTAATTTATTTTCAGGAAGGAAGAGGTGGAACATACGTGTAATGAAGGAACATGCCCTTCTCTGGCCTGAAGGTTATTTAGAGTCACATCAAACAAGTATACCGGTGACATTACTACCAAAATGATTTATAGGAAATTAAGAGAAATAGGCCATGACTGCAGTTCTACTGGGACAAGACAAAAATATACAATTTGCCAAGAGAATCTTTAAAGCAAAAGTCCTGTGAAAATCATACCCCATTCATCTCCATTTCAAACATACCTATTGGAAGAAAACTTTCTGACTGGTGAGCCTTGAGAGGGAACCTTTTCTCCAGCACATGGTCCAAACATGCTGGGTGGCTCCCACTTTTTTCTTTGTTTCTGAAAGGAGAGAAAAATAGCCCAATATGACATTTTGACAGTTCAGGGTTAAATTTCCACATGCTTACTTGTCCCCTTAGTTTCTATTCAATTTAGTTCTAGGGAGAGGAATGAGGGAGGTATGCACACAAAGAAAAAAAGTGTGCCACTTCTAGGGCCAGCCCAGGACATTTTGCGGACTCACGGTGCAACCAGACTAACTAAAAAGTCCCAGATTGTGTACCTAACTATTCCAATTTTATAGTGGATTAAAATAAAGTGTCCCCAGTGACACAGCGAGTTAAACCGCTGAGCTGCTGCACTTGCTGACTGAAAAGTCGGGGAGCAGGATAAGCTTCCCGACTTTTAGCCCCAGCTTCTGCCAGCCTAGAAGTTTGAAAACATGCAAATATGAGTAGATCAGTAGGTACTGCTCTGGCTGGAAGAAAACGCCACTTCATGTGGTCATGCTGTCCACCTGACGGACAACTCTGGCTCTTTGGCTTAGAAATGGAGATGAGCACCACCCCTCACAGTCGGATACAACTAGACTTAATGTCAGGGGAAACCTTTACTAAAATAAAGTGACTTGGGGAATGTGTGTAAAAGATCTCTGATCAGATTAGAAGCCAAAAGAAAACATTCTGGGATAAAGAAAAAGCGTATGGCTATCCAAAATAAAATGGAAAAGAACAGGAACAAAATCTTGGACTTTCTGTTTTTTATAAATAGTCTGGATGCACTCCGAGATAAAGATGAGGTATCACTGCCCATCACACCAAGGCTATCAAACTTTCATCAAATATGCAGGACACACTACACATCACCCAGAGCTCTGTTCTCAAACATATCATGATTCCTCCCGACATCTCCGGCATTTGCCACCTCACTTAACCACAGGGGTAAGCAGCTTGTGTGGCTTCAGGTCAAAATGGTTTCTCCCAGGCTGCAGCTAGCCCATGAATGTTTAAAAAGTAACAAATCAATTTGTATTTTCTATTTCTTCACTTCTATTTGAGAACTGAAAATTTTTGGGGATGCTGTATCTTGTTCTATGTTAAAACCATCAGCCCTAGAGCCACCACAAATGGAAGAACCATCCTTCTATAGCAGTGATTCCCAACCTTTTTTTGACCAGAAACTACTTTGAACAGGGATCACTTGATCATTTTGACAAGGGATCACTTTGGCCATGGAACACTCTCCAACATTAGTACCAAAAGGATTCCGAATCAGTTTTTGGTCAACTTTAAATTCAGTTTGGTTATTTGGGATGCTGATTTAAAACATTGCATTGGACAGACCACATCAGCTCTAGTTTCTGATACAGAACATATGCCATCCAGTAGTCTCCATCTGTCCACAAAAAAAACATATTTAATAATCTAGAGCTGATGTGGTAGTAGTAATCGTTCATGGGTATTCAGCCTCTCCCCTCCAGACATCCCCATTGCTTTGGCACTGTAAGAGGGTTTTGTGAGAACAGTCGCTCTCATTGCCATGTGGTTTCAAGGCAACGGTGTAGTAATGGAAGGCTGCAGACCATATTTTTGTTCTTGTGGACTACTGGTGGTCCATGGACCACAGGTTGGAAACTACTGTTCTACAGAATAAGGTTGGTTCTTCTATAAACTGTTTTGCAGAAGGATTGAATTCCAGACTGTAATTTCTGAAACATGGAAATACTTATGCAAAACAATGTGTGTTTGTGTGCGTAGTTAACCAACAGAATGAAAAAAAAAAGTAAAACAAGCAAAATATGTTGGCTGTCCTCTTTGTTAGTTGTCAAAATGGATGCCAATCTGTTTTGGTCATGTGAAATTTTACAGTTCAGTTTTGTTTTTTTAATTGAGTGACAAACAGTGCTATACATGGGGTTTTTCTATCTCCCAAATTCCAAATACATCTGGCAGAAGAATGCAACAGAGTTGTGCTGAAGGACCTGGGAAACGACTAAAGAAGACATATTTTGTCAGATGCGGGTCAATGAAACTGGGGAGACTGCTTCTGCAGATACAAGAGCCATATTATGCAAAAATATAGCTTTAATTGATTAATCTATTTCTGATATTATTTAAAATAACACCATGGGGGCAAACTGCAGTGAAGGAGACAAACCATCCTCACAACCTCAGAGGATGCCTGCCATAGAAGCAGGCGAAACGTCAGGAGAGAATACATCTAGAACATGGCCATACAGCCTGAAAAACCTATCACAACCCATCTTCCTAATGTTTTTTAAAGTCTATCAGAGGACACTTGTAATGTTTATGAAATAATACTCATCACAGCAAAGATATGGAAAGTCCCGCTAGGGATATAGTCTTTTTTGAGGCACAATTGTGTCTTGAACTGCTTCAAAAAAGAAGGCTGCAGTACCTTAAAAGGTTTCCCCGAACTGAATTCTGCTCCCTGGCCAGGCGGTTGCACATATTGAGGCTGAGCCTTTTTGGAGTATCGATTTGTCCTTCAGGAATGCTTCCTTCTCTTTGCATGCCTTGGGAAATGCCATATTTCTCCTCCAGACAACGCAAGGGAACGGTCCTGTTGATGGGCTGAAATATAATTGCTCCGCTCTGCTTTGATATCGGCCGGCGGTTTCCTACATAGCACCGAACCAGGCCGGGGATGCTGTCAAAACCTTCGTCTTCAAAGCAGTACTGAACGCGGCAGTAAGCTTCATTGAGCCTGAAGATGGTTTTATTGATCTTGAAATGCTGAGAGATGTTTTTCCACTGACAAGTAAGGACAAAATTCCCAGGGCTGGAAAGCGAGTCCCGAATCAAGAAATCTCCATCTCTCTGAATGAGGCTTTCTGCCACCTACAAATGGAAACAAATGAACTGTTATTGGATACTCATGTGAATGACATTATTTTACTGAAATCCATGGTCTAAGACTAAGTTGTTTTTAAAATTTTGGCTAAAACAAGAGCAGTTATTGCCACAAACAATTTTCTTTTCCAAAAATGGGGCATTCAGGGGATTCTAAATTATGAAAAACCAAGTTTCTCACATAATTCTTATTCCAATGTGTCACAATCTTTCAGCCATGTTCGACAAACTTTGTTCCTTTTGCCTTTCCAGAGATTGTCTTACCCAAAAATTCTGCTTTTCTGTGTGAGTAACCTGCCAAATTTTACTCAACCATGCTCTCTGTTTTCTGGCATTGTCCACAGTTCCCAGTGCCTGACACAGATAATTTTAGCTTCTATTAAAGAAATTGGCTCTTGTACAAAGACTGAAATGACTTCTCAGCTAAAATTCTGACTGATATAAAAACAGAGGCAGGATCCAAGAAATAATGAGAAATATGAAAAAGACCGTATCATCTTGGACCGTTCTATTACAGACTGGATGACCTCACAGGGCTCTGGAAGTATAAAATTTGGAAGGAGGAGAGGCTCACTGAAGAAAAGGCAGGGTGTAAATACAGTGGGAAAAAATAAACAAAAGTGCATACTTAACACTGCTCTGTCAGCAGTCCTCATGCATTTTAATTAAGAGGCGAATTACAGAGCGCCTAAGATTCTGAACAGGGAGCAATGACCTCAGGTATGTTGCTGTTTACACTCGATCAGGATTATAGTTTGCCTTCTTACTCCAAACAGCTGATTGCCATTTGTATACTGTACTCAACTGTGAAGAGCTTCAATCATCAGAGAGCGAGAGTCGCTCTAACCTTCAGAACACACCTAGTTCACTTTGTTTTCCACTCAGATGAAGATGCCTGCTGTGTTTTCAATCACAACACAACTAATTATGGAGGCTGTTGACTGAGAGAGCTCATAGCAGAACAAACCATTTAATCTCCAAGGCTCCTCAGAGAACTCTTTGTTCTCATTTGCTGCTGCAGATTGAGCAGCAAATACTATTGGAATTTTTCAAGGGATAACAAACTCAAATCTGTGAAATGATCAGAATGCAATACAGGAGCCCTTGGTGGCGCAAAATCCTTGTGCCAGCAGGACTGAAGAGCGACAGGTCCAAGGTTCGAATCCGGGGAGAGTGTGGATGAGCTCCCTCTGTCAGGTCCAGCTCCCCATGCGGGGACATGAGAGAACCCTCCCACAAGGATGGGAAAACATCAAAACATCTGGGCATCCCCTGGACAACATCCTTGCAAACAGCCAATTCTCTCACACCAGAAGTGACTTGCAGTTTCTCAAGTTGCTCCTGACACACACCAAAAAAAATAAAATCAGAATGCAAAGAGCTTTGGGTACAGTAGTGCTAGAAAGACACAAAGCTATGATGGAACATTGATGCTTCAGTTTTGTGTCTTCACGTCATTCCTGACTTATGGTGATCGTAAGGGGATCTTATCACAAAGTTTTCTAGGACTGAGTATTTGTGGCTTGCCCAATATCACCCAGTGGATTTCTGTGGCTGAGTGGGGAACCAAACTGTGGTTTCCAGAGTCAACCCATTATACCACGCTGGCTTCCACGATGGCGCATGGAAGGGTGCAAAACAACAGAATCCATTGTTTAAGATGCACTCTCTACTCAGTAAGTCTGTCACTTGTCCCAATAAAAAGAATAGAATTTGTAATAATACGGACAATAATAATAATACACTTTATTTATATTCCGCTTTATCTCCTTGGAGGGACCCAGAGCAGATTACAGTATACACATAGAAGGCAAACATTCAATGTCAGCATGTCTGCATGGGACGCCCTTTTACTTTCTCACCGAGGCGGTACCTACTGATCTACTTGTATTGCATGCTTTTGAACTGCTAGGTTGGCAGAAGCTAGTGCTAATAGTGGGAGCTCACACTGACTCGCGGCTTCAAACTGCCAACCCTCCAGTCAGCAGATCTCCTGTTGCTAGCGGTATAACCCGCTGCACTGCCACGGCCCATGGTATCAATGCAAAATTTGGGAAGATATGCCCTGTGGATATAGAGTTTGTACTGTAATGGTACATGCTCTTTGATAAGATCTCTACAACTACACCATATGTCAGGATACATAAAAACCACCGATACAATTAATGTGCCTTGTTTCCAAAGCTATGAGTAACACCTATGTGTGTAGGCAACAACAAAAATAGCAAGTATGAGTTTAATTCTTCCCTCCTATTAGTGGTCCAAATGAAAATGACTCCACTTCCCTAACTGCTATGTTTAGTGAGATGGAAGCCATTCTGGGAGAACAGTCAACACCAAGACTCAGATGTGGGATGAGAAGGTGTCAATTCATTATTATAACCTCTGATCCCAATGCTGTTCTTCCTTGACACTGTTGATATATGTTAAGACATTAAATCAATGTCATGCCTACATTATTCCAAATGCCAGGTATAATGTTATGAGGCAGAATAAGTAGTAGACTTGGCTCTACTTCCTTATCAAAGTGTCCTATGGAATACCTCAGCTGTGACCATGATGGATATCAAAGGTTTCTGCACCTAAGAATGAGCGGAGAGAAGCAGAGGAACTATCTTATTTCCATTCAGCCATCAGAGATAAAGAGGGAAATTCATACATGATCAGGGCTTGTGGAGATCAGGAAAAGCTACTGGGCTGGATGGAAACTCCCACAGGCCACACCTAGACCAGATATGGAGACTTCATAGTCCTAGTGTGCATCTATATTGGGAAATTAATGCAGACTGACACCACTTTAGTTGCCATGGTTCAAGCTATGGAATAGTGGGATTTGTAATTTGGTGAGCCACTAGCAATTTTTGGCAGAAAAATCTAAACACATTGGAAAACTACAACACCCATGATTTCATAGCACTGAGCCATGGCAGTTAAAATGTTGGAAAACTGCCTTCATTTTAAAGTGCATATGCATCCCAATCATATTAATTCCCAAATAATTACCTTCTTGTACTTCTAGGCCAGCTAATCCTAACATATCCACCTTTTCCAATTGTCAGAAACAAGTTTTTTATAATAATAATAATAATAATAATAATAATAATAATGCAGATTTTAAAGACAGAGAAAAACTTGAAACTAATGTTCAAATACTCAAAGATGTCAGATGTTCAGGTTGGCAGCTGGATGGGAGAAAGGGGAAAGGAGGTGAGCTGCCCACCTGTGACTCAATAAAGTATTCAGGGAAAAAAATACGTGAGTCGCACACTATTTTAGTTTCATTTATCACCGGGTGAAAATATTTACTGCAAGTTGAAAGTATTCTCTGAGAAGTACAGACAGATAAATCTACTAAAACCTGGGTGAATGTTACACATTTTACTACATATAGGGTTCAACTGAAAAATAGGTCACCTATGAGGAGTCTGAATTCCAATCATGCCCAGATTATACTGTAGATCATAGAATAATCTCCATCCTCCTGTCAGTGTAGCTTCCCTGGGCTGCCACAGAAGCACAACTATTTCATTTTAATGGGTCTAAAGTGTCATTGTCAGTCAACGCATTCCCTCAATGGATTTCATATTCTGGTCTTCTTTACTCTAATGTAATTAATTCACAACCTTGGAATAGCATTGTTAATGAATTCTCATTTATCATCAAAGAAGCTTTAGTTAATAAACATGTAAATTTCGTGGCCACTGGTTTCTGTTGTCCCTGAATAGTTTCCGGGACTGTTATCCACAGGGAACTTAGAAGATCTGCATTTTGATCACCAACTCATGCTGTTTCAGTTGCATTTGATTTAAACAGTAATGGCTCCTTTCAGACAGATGCTGGGGTCCATGTTAAAATTATTAGAAACGCCATGACAGAAGGAGAGAATAAATGTTGCTTAACACTTTTAACGTTCCAAATATGGATTCTTGAAAAATCATTCCAACAAGATTGTTAGAGATGGAAAGGCCTGGAAAAACCCTGAGGGAAAAACCAGTCCCTTCCTCCCCCCCCCCCACCGTTTTTCGCAATTTTTCCAGATTTTTTCTGTCCCCCTATTTTCTCCTTTTTTCCAGGCCTTCCCATCTCCAGATTTACTCAGATTTAAAATCACCACACTCACATTTCCTGTTAATATGATTGCATTCTGTAATATGCGGCATGTGCTTTTGAAATTCTTGCTATGAGAAACCCTGCAATCAAAATGAATAGTGAAAAATTTTGTATGTAGTAAAGGTTTCTCCTTGACATTAAGCCTCATCATGTCCGATTCTGGAGAGTGGAGCTCATCTCCATTTCTAAGCCAAAGAGGTGGCATTGTCCGTAGACACCTCTGAAGACATGTGGCCAGCATGACTGCATAGAGCACTGTTACTTTTCCGCTGAAGTGGTACCTACTGATCTAGTCACATTTGCATGTTTTCAAACTGTTAGGTTGGTGGAAGCTGGGGCTAACAACAGGAGCTTCCCCTGGATTCGAACCAACCTTCCGGTCAGCAAGTTCTGCAGCTTAGCTGTTTAACTAGAAACTGCACCACCCCGGCCCCATATGTATATACTTGAATTATTTTAAAATACACTTAATAAAGTTATTTTAAAATAAATCTGCATGTACTTATTTGGTGTTCAAAAATCTGAAGGTCTCTTGTACAAGGAAAGGCTAGCAGAGAACCATAGTAAAAGGCAAAGTATAAAAATCCTAAGACCTTGACTGTTATATGTAAAACTGAAAGCTGGCATTTTCAGGACAGATTACAAGGATAGGTTTTGTGGCATGTAGTAGATTCTGTACTTACATGACAAACCTATTAGCAGTCTTAACACATGGCTGTATTCCCAACTACAGACATTTAAGACATGGTACAGATGATTATTTTAGGTCTCAAATGCCAGTGATATAATTGGATTCAGAAGCTAAGTATACAAGTTCATGGAGAGTTATAATGGGTCAAAAGCTGCCACTAACTAATGGATTTCAGCATGTCTCTCTAAGATCACATTTCTCTGTACTCCATGGCAAGCTGAATGATAATTAGAGGCAAAAGAAAACAATCCTGGGATTTTCCAGGCTTGAATGATTCACTACTGCTCTAAAGTTCTACCAGACTAAAACTTGGGAAAGTTACAGTTTTGGACCACAGCCTCCATACTCCCCCAATCTGCTACAATGATGCTTAATGGATGATTCTAGGACTTTTGATCCCCGAAAAATAATTTTTCCAAGCTCTAATTAGATTGACACTCTTCTTGCTTTCTTCCAGCAAGTCCTCACAACCTCTGAGGATGCCTGCCATAGATGTGGGCGAAATGTCAGGAGAGAATGCTTCTGGAACATGGCCATACAGCCCAGAAAACTCATAGTAACCCAGTGGTTCCAGCCTTCGACAACACAAATAACTTTCTGTTTCATTTTCACTTATGTGCATAAATGCTTCTCTAACCAGAAAGATTTGTTCAGGTCACAGATCAAAATAAATGATAGATGTGCCCCATCGTCCACATTCCCATCTTAAATATTTCTGATCAACTGGATCCAGTTTGCCAAAATAGGAGGACAAGCGGGAGGAGGAGGAGACATAGTCTTATTGCTCCCCTTGAATTACGAAGTAGAATTATAACATAGCTAAATGTACGAAGTAAAACCAGATGGAGAGAAACAAGTGGGCAGAGCTGCCTGAAATGGGGGACCAAGACAAGACTCACCTGGCGTGGAATACGTCCGTGATACCAGGCGTGGCTTCGCAGATCTTCGCTGCTCATCTGCAGCTCCTCTTCCAACTCTTTCTTCAGTTTTTCTGGGGAGCTGTCCATCGTCACCTGCCTCTCCATCACCTGTCTTTCCTTTGAAAACTGATAGATGAAAAGAAAGAGCTTGATTATTCCAGATCTGGCAAGAAACTCCTTATCTTTCATTTTCCCCCACATGTGTCAGGAGGTCCACAACAGCCAATGGAGCTCGCGCTCTGCCTCCCACTGAGACTTTGATCATCTCTAAGCGGTAGTTGTGAAGGCTACCGCCAGGTGAGAATCTAGGTAATGATTACATGTTGCAAAGTGTATCATAAATGTCCCACCTGGATGGCGGTGATAATAACTGGTGTGCCTACCTGCTGAGTCATTTATGGACTTTCTCCAATAAAAATGCTTCACATACAAGAAATGAAAAAGACCCCAACTGGAAAGAGAGGCATCGTAACTCATTTTCAGCCACATGGTTTACAAATAACAGTCCTAGGTACCAGCCCTGCCATCTCCCAACCCTACTGTATGCCTATGAAACAAGGACTGTCTACAGATGTCATACACAACTCCTAGAATGATTCCATCAGTGCTGCCTCCGAAAAATCCTGCAAATCTCTTGGGAAGACAAGTGGACAAATGTCAGCGTGCTGGAAGAAGAAAAGACCACCAGCATTGAAGTGATGGTCCTCCGCCATCAACTCCGTTGGAACAGCCACGTGGTCCAAATGGCCGATCACTGTCTCCCAAAGCAGCTACTCTACTCCCAGCTCAAGAATGGGAAATGGAATGTTGGTAGACAGAAAAAGAGATGTAAAGATGGACTTAAAGCCAACCTTAAAAACTGTGACATAGACACTGAGAACGAGGAAGCCCTGGCTCTTGAGCGCTGTAACTGAAGGTCAGCTGTGACCAGCAGTGCTGCGGAATTCAAAGAGGCATGAACGGAGGGCGAAAGAGAGAAACGTGCCAAGAGGAAAGCAATCAAGGCAACCCTGACCAGGACCGCCTTCCACCTGGAAACTGATGTCCTCACTGCGGGAGAAGATGCGGATCAAGAATAGGGCTCCACAGCCACCTATGGACCCACCGCCAAGACACCACATCTGGAAGGCAATCATCCTCAAGCTACGAGGGATAGCCTAGGTAAGTTAAGGAAGTAAGTAAATAAAGTAAGCATACAGCTAAATGTCTTGGACTGATCCCGAACCCATCTCTGCCAGAAACCTCCTACATCACTAACAACTTTGTTGGTGCCACAGAAAAGCTGTGCTTTTGGTGGACACAAAGAACACAACTGGTCTAATTTTAATTTCATATTCTCTCTGCAACACTTTTTGAATTACAAGTGGCCCTTTCTTGTTCCAACATGGCTGTGTGATGGGATCTTGCTGACATATTCCCACAATCCTTCTTGGCATTATGTCAGCCTTCTGTCAAAAAAGTGGCTCTCATCCTGGGCACTTTGGTTACAGCTCAACTGTTTTGGTTTTTTTAAGAACACTGCATCAGGTGATGCAGGGTTAAATTAAAAGCTGTGTGAAGAACTAAACTAATCCTCCCCACATTTCGCTCTTCCTTCTCTAGTCTACTTCTCTACCCTCTTCGTTTAGAAAGAGAGCAAGGGTTGAAATGGTGTTTTAATTGAGACCAGCTGGCTTTCCTGCTGCTATTGCAGATTTTGTTTCAAAAAGCAGACATCCGTTACAATGACATTTTACTCTAACCCTGATAGATTTGCTTTTTTTCTATCTGGATTACTTGTATGTTATGACCTATCTCTCAACAGAACTATAACCTGAAGCAACGTGATGCCTCCAAATCAGTGACATACATGAGAAATCAGTGTCGTCTATTGCAGTATATTTTATTTATATTCCAACTCTAGCCCATGGGTTGGATAAAACCCTGAAGGATATTGCATCTTCTGCTCAAACTGCATCTGTTTTTATCTCCAATCAGTGATCAGACCGAAGTGACAAATCAACCAATAAAACATCACAAAGTCTGCTTTGGCTGTAGTATACAAATCATATTAACTAGTCACAATACATGCTGTACACAAGCAAAACTGGACGTGGACGCTAAATAATGCAATACTATGAATATTGCAGACTCCAAATTCCAGAAGCACACATTTTTTCTCTCTTATTTAATGACTTTGGAATAGGGAGTAGCAGAGATACTTCACACTAGTAGACTCCTTGGCCTTGTTCCTTACTGTCTTTGTTCATTACCACTCATGTAGTAGCCAATAATGAAAGGACCAAGATAGTGATATCTCCGGCCCATCTCTTGTTTGGATATCAGCCAGCACACGCCTTAAATCAAGAAATAGTTTTCTAAGATCTGCCGAGATACTCGCAGGAACACCTCAGCAAGCGAGAGTCCAAAAGTGGTAGGCTAAAACCCAGATCCTCAATCCATGGTTGATACCAAATGAGAGACTCCCTCCTGGGCACACAGAAGACTGGACGACTTGGAAGGTGCTGAACAGATGGCTCTCTGGCATCATGAGATGCAGAGCGAACCTTAAGAAATGGGGCCACAAAGTCGAGGCCACGACATGTAAGTGTGGAGAAGAGCAAACCACAGACCACCTATTACAATGTAGTCTGAGCCCTGCCATATGCACAATGGAAGACCCTCTTATAGCAACACCAGAGGCACTCCAAGTGGCCAGCTACTGGTCAAAGCACACACACACACACACACACACACATATATATGTTCTGTTTGTTCATGGGATTAACATAATTCAAAAACCACTGGATGAATTGACACCAAATTTGGACACTATATCCCTAACAGACCAATGAATGACCATCACTCATAACCCCCCCCCAAAAAAAAACAGCAGAAAGGACTTAAAAACCCCAAAAAAGCTAAATGATGAAAAGCTAAATGACGATACAGAAAAAAGGGAAGGAAGAGGGAGGGAAGGAAGGGGAGAAAGAAATAAAGAGAGAGAGAGAGAAAGGGAAGGAGGGAAAGAAAGAAAGAAGGAAAGAGAGAAGGAAGCATGGAAGCAAAAAATGAAAGAAAGAGGTAGAGAAAAAAGGAGAGAAAGGAGAAGGAAAAGAAAAAGGGAGAAATGAAGGAAAGAGGTAGAGAAGGAAGGAAGGAGAGAAGGAAAGAAAAAAGGGAAGGAAGGAAAGGGAGCGAAGGAAGGAGGGAAAGGAGAGAATGAGGGAGTGAAGGGAAGAAGGAAGGATGGAAGCAAAAAGTGAAGGGAGAAAGGAAAGAGAGAAAAAAGAAAGGAGAGAAAGAATAAGAAAAAGAAAAAGGGGGAAGGAAGGAAAGAGGTAGAGAAGGAAGGAAGAAAAGGGAAAGAAAGAGGGAGCGAAGGAAGGAGGGAAAGAAGGAGAGAAAGAGGGAGGGAAGGTTGGCCACAGCAACACGTGGCGGGTAATATAATACCAAGTTTTTAAAACTTTGTGTTTTTTAAATACATTATAACTGTATCCTTGGTTTGCTTCTGATATGACAAATAAATACCACTCAACGACCCACAATGTTTAGGATAAATATGCCAAACACAAGGCCCGCAGGCCAAATCCACCCTGCCATGTTATTTTATGTGGCCTACAAGGCTTTCAATGCCAGGGAAACATTTATACAATCTTAGAGTTACAATCAGTACTTTGACGGCAACCATAACGAGTGTGATACCCCTGGTCTAGGAGAAGGCTGCAGTGAAAAGACAACAAGGTTAGTTGGGATGGGATCCTCATACTCTGCATGCTGGTTAATCTGGCCCTACAAAAAAAAGCACCTTGGGCATGGAGAAGTCTCCAGAAAAAGAGAATAACCACCAGACATTTTTTTTTTTTGCATATCTCCTGACAAAACTGCCCATCAAAAAGCCCAACGGAATATGAATAGATTCTGAAAGTATTTATGGCAGCCTGCCGGGTGCTAAATAAATCTTTCCTTGCTACATCTACGGAAGAAACAGAAATAAAGTGACACAGATATGGAGACACCAGGACGGCAGGCTGCATGTTACCATGCAACAATAACCACAGAAACATTTTTTCCCATGGCTCCGTATTTCCTCTCAGGAACTTGGATGAACTCCCAGGCCCCTCCAGTGAAATGAATGCCTCCCTACTGGGGATGGGAATTTAAAAAAGAGAGTGAATGACACAAATCCTCATTCTCCAATTTGGGACTTTCAATGAATGCTCTAGCTTTGGAAGCTTTTTCTTTAAGTTCATCTTAATAGCATATACAGTATGAAGACATGCATTTTGTTAAGGATGTCCCTCAATAGTTCTTTGTATCACGAGTCTACTAAAGTAATTTAGCCATACTGCTAAGAGAGCATTGTTCCTAAAGGGACTCTGCCAAGAAGAAAGGCTCCTTTTAGCTATGGCTGTTCAGACATGCTGAGCAGTCCAGACTGGGCCCATGGTTAATTTTCTTTCTCTCTTTAATTTTCTAAGAGCTTTAGAAATGGTGGGGTGTATCACGGCGGGATATATCAGCGTTTAGTAATACTCCTGGAGGGCAGCACTTCTCAAAATCCCCCATGGCATCCCCACGCTGGCCTGAACATTCTGGGAATTGCTTTTTAAAAGAAAGCCTAAATAATCCTAAAATCACCAAGGTCAATCCTGTTTAGATCAGTGAATAGTGGGTGCCGCAGGCAATATTTCAGAGGAAGGAAGTGGTAAAACTACCTCTGACTATTCCTTCCCTAAGATGATCCCATGAAACTCCCATGATTTGACAGGCGAATGGAAGGCATATGGACACACAGAACATTACTGAATTCTAGACTATAAACTTGTATGATAATTTAAGTGTCACAGTAGCCTATTTATATAACCAGATCTCTATAAGAGCACATTTTGTACCTATTTCCCAGTAATCCCAGGGATTTGCAAAGGTTTTCCAACTGCAGTAGATGCTGTTTCCCATTTTATTTCCTTTTTGCCTTTTTTGTAATGAATCTTTGGACCGTGAGAAGATCCAACCGGTCCATACTTCAGGAAATAAAGCCTGACTGCTCATTGGAGGGAAGGATATTAGAGGCAAAGATGAAGTACTTTGGCCACATCATGAGAAGAAAGGAAAGCTTAGAGAAGAGAATGATGCTGTGGAAA